AAGAAAAGGGAATTTTTCCATAATTTCATTATTACAGCTGACCTGGTGAGACCAACTTCAGCACTGTGGCTGTTTGTGCTGGGACAAATTATTTGGGCCAGGTAACGTGGCTTTCTTTGAGTGTGGTATCACTCAGGGAACAGCTGGGATTAACAAGGTGATCCCTTCTGTTGGAAATTTATATTTTAAGCATTTGAACAAGGACAACAATTGGATACAAGTAAAATCATGGGTGAAAAATAGGAGAGAGAGCAAAATTTCTAGTGTGAACTTGTTAATTTTGTTATTTCATGCTTGTTATTGCACTGCAGCCAAATGCTGCTGGTATTTTTAAATACAATGAGCATAATGAAATCAGTGGGACTTGACTCTGACTCTTTGCAGGATCACAGCTGCTTAATCCTGATCCAAGTTGAATCCTTCCATTGGGACACCATGAACCAAAGTTCAAATTTAGAACAGTACATTAGGTAAAAGAAAAAGTTTAAAAGTCTTTATTTCCTCTCTGCAATCAGTTAAATGGGTTTATGACAAAAATATTATTTACTGAGTATACAGTTCTATATGAATACCCCAAGTCAAAATTAAACATTTAGGTGTCTCTGAGGTATGTTTTTTGTAGGGAATACAGATAAAATATTAGAGTATTTAAGAACTGAATGTCCTAGATAATTTTTTTCCCCAACAGGTTTGTTGGAAAAATAATTATTTACTATTTTTGGTGACAGTAGATCTTAGTTGCTGAAATCATGTTTCAAAGGTATTTCAAATATCTAAAATCCTCCCTGAACTCCTTCCAAGGAGGACTTTCTCTTCTCCTTCTCTGTGTATTAGCTGGTGTCCCTGTTCCTCGCTGTCCCCGTGGATGATTCCTGTTGGGCAGGTCCTTCCCGCTCTCCACATGCTGGATCCATCTCCCCCCTCCATGGGTTCACTGGCACAGCTGACCTTCCTTCCCAGCCCATTCCTGCTCCTTGCCCCCTGCCTGCACCCCAGGCAGTCTTGGACCTCCATGTCTCTGGGCTGGGGGATGCCCTTGGGTCCCTGCTGGGTGTTTGGGGTGAGAGCTGCTCCAGAGCTCCATCGGATGCAGAAACACCTGCATCACTCTCCCTTCTGCTTCCGAAATCCCCAGCACTCTCCTCGGGCAGGTGCTGTAAGGAGGGCTGCCAAACACTTGGCTATGGCCAAATCAGCCAGAATATGACCTTTAACCAGTTCTTGAGGTGTTTCTGGATCTGAAGCCCTGCATGTCCTTCAGGGGCAGGGGTGGCAGTGCCAGGCAGGCACCCGGGGGATTGGAGCAGATAACATTCCTGTTCCCCCACCTGTGGTGCTGGAGCCAGTGGTATCACTGGAATGTTGTTGCCAAACAGGAGGAAGCCTGGATACGCCAAAAACCTCCGGAGAGGGGAAGGCAGGGAAAGGGAAATCTGAACCGGAGGGGCCGGACAATGTGGAAAGTATTTCCAGTGATTTCATAACAACCGGAGCTGTGAGTGGTTTTCAGGTGTGGCTGAGTTGTTTGGAAAAGATCTCCTGGGCCCCCTGGGTGGCAGCCCTGGAGCAGCTCTCTGGGCATGCTCCATCTCTTTGTTGTCCCACAGGTTTCCTACAAGGTGAAAAGATGGGATCACACCAGTGCACCCACCCCATGGACACCTTCACCTCTTGGATGGCACCAGCCCAGTGCTGGGCCAATTAAAACCTTGTTACTGATTGATTCGAGTCCAAATCCTTGTGGGTGTTTGCACACCCTGCAAAGTATTTTGATAAAATAGTTGCAGTGTTTGATGTCTGCTCAGAAGGACCCTGGGAAGGGCAGTTTGACAGAGGGGCTTGAGGATTAGCAGCTGGAATGGCCTCTCCCCCTGCATCCCTGGGATTCCTGTGGGGCTGCCTTGGCTGCCACTGTGGGTGTCACACCTGAGCAGCACAAACACATTCCTGTGTCTTGGAATGCTCTAGGACGTGGGGAAAACCATTTCTGTGGGGAAAATAATTTCCAGGGCAAAGTTTAAAATTTTGCTTCTCGTGTTGCTGGGAATTGCTGCCTGGCCTGCAGTGACCAGGGTGCAGGAGTGGAACTCTGCGTGGAGTTGTTCAGGAGTTCCAGCATCCCTCTGGTCCCAGTTATTCCACAGTAGGACATAAATCATGGTGCAAAGCACAAGTCACTTGCTGAATATGCTTTTAAAAAATGAGATTCATGGGAAGCTGTGTAGGAATAACTGCAGAGAACAGTCCAGAACTGGAGTTACTGTTCAAGAAGTGATGAAGGACATGTTACAGAGACTTGAGTTGCTTCTTCCATACTGCTGAAAGCTGGAAGTGACAAAGCCATTCCCTGACTGGTTAGAGTTAATTTGGGTGTTAATTGCTCATTAACACAGCTCTGACTCTGCTCACCCAGCTGGGGATGAAGCTCTGTAACAGCACTTGAGGCATTTGTAGGAAATAGAGGGGAAAAAAGGAAGGAAATGCCTTAATCTTGGGGGCACATCCCCCAGCTCCTGGCAGTCCCAGAAGTGCTGAAGTGCAGTGTTGGGGGAGTTCTGGGGCCTGGCCCTGCTCACCTCACCTGGAGCCTTTCAGCTCCTTGCTGCTCTCTCTGGGTCCCAGCTGGTTTTTCCAGCACTGTTAGGACTTCGCTGTCTGTGCCTGTTCTCTCTCCTGTGATGCTGTGGGAAGGAACATTCCTGGGCTGAGCCTTGCTCAAGGATAGAACTGGGCTCTGTTCTCTGGGAAATCCTGGCAGCTCTCCCAGAGCCATCAGCTCTGTGTGCACATCACTTCAGAAGAGATGGATCCATTTCATGATATGGGAAGAGAAACACGATGGGCTTTAGATTAAGAAGATGAATTTAAAAAATATTCCGCTTTAACTCAAGTGAATGAATTTTAATGATGGGCAAGGGGTGGATTTTGCATCAAAACCATGTAATTTGAAGCAGATCACCTGACAGTATTGCCAAGACAGGTAAGAGGAACCCAGGTGTGAGTGTTTGGAATTGGAAGTGAACTGGAAATCAAGCAGGACAGAGGGAAAAGTGTTGGAAGCACTGGACACCAGGGAGAGTTTAGCAGTTCCATCCCTTGTTCCTCAGTGGGAACACTGAAAAAGGAGTTTGTCAGGTGCAGTGAGGAGCTCTCCAGTCCAAGGGAGCTTAAACACAGGGGAAGCCTGATGTGCTACTGGATCAGCACTGGAATGTCATTCAGGAACAGGGAGATTCAGGTTTGGGAAGATCCCCTGGCCCATTCAGGGCTCTGGAATTGGGAAATGGGGCCCTGGCTGAGGCCAGAAGAGCTAAAAGTGGTGCATTCCTGCAAGAAATCCAATTATGGGACATAAAAAAGCAGGGGTAGATAAAAATAGATTTTGCAATGAATGTGAAATTAATGGTGTCATGTATTGATCAGGAGGGGCTGCTGGAGAGCACTTAATTGGGATCTTTAGCTATTAGAGTGTGGAGGAGATAATTAAGGAGATACCCTGGAGTACGTGTCTCTCTGTGATCTGTATTTGGAATGCCAAAATGTTCCTGGCTCTGGGAATGTGTCTCCCAGTCCTGCCCACAGACTGGTGTTACACTGCACACATCTGATGAAAACCCATGGCTGGTTCCTGCCCAAGAAACAGAACAGGAAAAATGAGAGTTCTGCCAGTTGAGGACCTCCCAAGCTGCTGCTTGGGGTCACAAGGGGCTTGGACAGTTTAAAATCTGGTTGTTGCTGATAGAAGACTCCTCAGTGTTCTTCCCTGAGGGCTTGGTCATTCAGACAACATTTTCTCCTTTAGTCAGGTTTTTTGAGAGGTTTTCTCGTTGTGTATCAGAACACAAATCCACATGTTCTGGTGGACAGACATGCTGCAGCTCAACAACAGCTCTTCTAGTCCTGAATTTCTTTCTGGGGAAAAGCAGAGCAATTTTAGTTAGTTTCCATAATTAATGAAAAAATAAATGTATTTGGCAGCATGGATTCCCATGTGGGAAATGTCATCAGGTGGCTTGAGCTTGGTAAATAGTTAAGAATTCAGAAAAAAATCTGTGTATCCTGAGCTTTGGGGGTTTGTTGCTAATTGTGCTGCTTGGAATACTCAGTGGTAATTGGGGTCCAGCTGCTCAGAATCTCACTGTTACATTTACTGGCTGGATTGTTTTAATGGGATTTGGAGGGTGGCTCTTGCTATGGTTCAGCTTGTGCTGTTAAATCACCACCCTTTTAATGCCATAATCCCTGGGTTTATCCTGCCTTGGAGTAGCAACATAGGAAGATGTGACTGAGGCTAAAAGTTTGGAGAGTGTGGGTATAATCCAGAGCAAGAGCTGCTTGTGCTTGTTAGAGTCACTGTAAAATGATGAAGTGGGTGTTGTGGGGCAGAGGGAGAGTGCTGATGGTGGGAAAACAGTGGGAAAAATTCCAGTAATTCCAGTGCCATGGGCAGTGGCAGAACCCAACCAGGTCAGGAGGCAGCTCCGTGTGAAATGACTGCAGGGTTTGACTGGATGAGTTTGTACTGCAAGGAATTCTGTATTCATCTGTCATTTTGTTACGACTGAGAATCATTAATTGAATTGTGCATGTTAATGAGCTACAGTGGGAAGTGGGGTCTGGGTGTGTATTTGAGTAATGAACAGAGGTTGGGGTTTAAGCCGTGGTCACAAAGCAATGACACTGCTTTGCTGCTGGTATCCTCTGCTCAGGTCTATTTTACCCCCAGTTCCACCCTTCCCTCCCCTGCCACTTCCATTACAGTGGAGATTTGGTCTGCTTGCCTGACAGTGCCGTGTCCTGTACTCCCCATTAGTGGTCAGTAGTTACCTCTGCCTGCATGTCAGCCTTCAGTTTAATGGCCTTTTTTGTGTGTTCATTTTCTTCTGTTTCCCATCGTGGTTTTGTTTATTTCTTTTATGTTTTTTTTCCTGTTCTCTTTTTTTTTTTTAAACCGTGGTGATGTTTGCCCTTCATATTCCCCAATGTTTGCACATGCCAAGATGTTGCCATCCCAACATTACCTCCCACTTCACTGACCAGTGCCACTAATGACCATCTAGCACCAGCCACAGCGGGACCCCTGCCCTCCGCCCCGCGGGACGTCGTGGCCACCCTCGTGTCCACTCGCTTCATCCGGCTCACGTGGCGGCCGCCGGCCTCAGACCCGCAGGGAGACAACCTCACCTACTCCATCTTCTACACCAAGGAGGGCATCAACAGGTAAACACGTGGCACGGGCTCTCCTGGGACTCCTGGGCTTCGCTGGCACACTGGGAGCCCTGTGGGGTGCAGGGAACGCGTTCCCCTCCCTCCCACCCCAGGGCTTTCACAGGCGGTGTTTGGCCATGGCTGGGCTGAGTGCAGACCCTTCCAAGAGCTGCTCCCTGCCTTTTGCAGCCTGCTGAGGCCAGAGCAGCAACATCCCCTGGAATGCTGGGAGCAAGAGGCACATCAGGCTGTGTGATGGTGTTGGTCAGACACCGTGGGCAGTGCTAAATGCCAGCTCCCTCCGAGGAATCAGTGATCAGAAATCTGCTGGATGCCTCCCAGTCAGCACTTGTGGTGTATTATCCCAGTGGATGATACCAGTCTGCCCCTTCTCCTTCCTGATGGGATCTACTGCTCAGAATTACAGTTTCAAATTGTGATAAGTTTGAGGAGGCTGAAGTGAACATTCATTTGGAGCAATGCTTAATTAATTGCAGATTAGCTTATCAGATTTATTACTCAAGGGAAAATTATCTGTCACCTTATTGATGAGAGTGTGAGACACAAAGTCATTTGTAAGAGAAAACACTCTAGAGGGGAATTCCTGCTCTTCCTTAATCCTGTGGATAGACATCTTGTCCAGGCTCATGACAATTAATTGAGGCAATTAGTAACATTTTATCTGCCTCACAAATGTTTTTTTTCTGTTACTCCCTTAATTTGGTAATATCCAAGGTGTTCCAGGTTGAATGTGGCTCGGAGCACCCTGGGACAGCAGGAGGTGTGCAGGAGCACCCAAATCCCTCTGAGGCTCCTCACTGCCTTGGCCTCTGCTGGCTCAGCTTCCTTCAGTTTCCACCTGGTCAGGGAGGGGAGAGCCAGGACCATGGCAATGCCTCCTCACCTCTGCCCCTTGGACTTATCTGAGGGGGACTCTGCCCCTCAGGTGAGAGCCCACCTGCAGAGCTGCCCCAGCACAGGGAGGAGCTGGAGCTGCTGCAGAGAGTCCAGAGGAGCCACGGAGCTGCTCCAGGGCTGGAGCCCCTCTGCTCTGGAGCCAGGCTGGGAGAGCTGGGAGTGCTCAGAGAGGGGAGAAGGCTCCAGGGAGAGCTCAGAGCCCCTGCCAGGGCCTGAAGGGGCTCCAGGAGAGCTGGGGAGGGACTGGGGACAAGGCACAGAGGGACAGGACACAGGGAATGGCTCCCACTGCCAGAGGGCAGGGATGGATGGGATATTGGGAATGAATTTCTGGCTGGGAGGGCGGGCAGGCCCTGGCACAGGTGCCCAGAGCAGCTGTGGCTGCCCCTGGATCCCTGGAAGCGTCCAAGGCCAGGCTGGACAGGGCTCAGAGCAACCTGGGTCAGTGGAAAGTGTTCCTGCTCATGGCAGGGGTGGGATTGGGTCACTTTTCATTTCCCTTCCAACCCAATCCATTCTGTGATTCCAAGAGGAGCATTTCAGAGTGAAGGAGTAGCAATGGAGGGGACATTTCTGCTTCAGGGGCTGCACAGTGTCACCAGCTGGGACTTGTCCCACCTCAGCCTGGTGACAGAGGGGCTCCCCTGGAGGCCGTGAGGTGGCAATGAAGGGGTGTCCCAGGGCTTTCCTGCCACCCCCCTGGAGATCTGGGGATCTGATCAGATCTGATGAGATGGAAGTTACTGTCTCACACAGCTGCAAGGTTATTTCATCCCAGTGTCAGGTATTTATTTACTTCACCCTCAAGGCAGTTGTCCTGGAAAGGGTGTGAAAATTGAAAAGTGCTGCAGGGAGGTTGAATTCTGGGGAACTTTAGACAAGCACTCAGGCGGAAGAACCCCAGACTTCAAGAACTGGATAAAAATAAAAGCAATAATGGCACATTGCTGGTCTGAGGTGGTAAATTACACATGCAGGATGCTCAGACCCTGCTGAATTCACAGTTCACTGTGGCGTGCTTCAGACACAGCAAATGGAGTTTAATTGTGTGTAATCACACTCAGAATGCCTCTGGAGCTCCCTGCCAGGCCCCACAGCTGGCACACGCAACACTCACTCCCTGACAGCTCCCCAAAGGTGCTTTTTTACATAGAAGTGCAACTTTAACCTTGGCATTTCCAGCCAAATTCCTGGGGTTGCACTGAAGGCTCTTCCCTTGGCTGCTTGAGAGTTCCTGTGAGCCTTAGCTGGAGCTTCCAAAGCTCCTTAATTGGGGATTAGAGTGGAATCATGGAGCAGTCATAACGATCTGCAGGGTAGTGCAGTCGTTCCTGGGGCCCATCTGCTTGATGCCTGTTATCCCAACCTGAGCACGTTGGAAAAGGTGCTCCAGGCTCCTCAGGAACAGCCATAAAGGAAGGATTCACGCAGCACTTAATTAGATTAATCTCTCCCTATTTTTACCACGCTGTTGTGAAGCCACATTCCTGGTTATTACTGAAAATTTGCAATACTCTGATGTGTCTATTTATTTTTGGTAAATGTTATCTTTCCAGTAAAATATATTTTTTTTCTTTTTCTAATTTTAAATAATAACCTTGGTTTGCTGATTACCATTTTCCCCCAGATCAAATCAGGGAGTGCACTTCCACTCGAAGCAGAAAATGCTATATTTTGCATGTTAATGGGAGCTGGATGTTATCCCACAGCTGTGAATCCCCTGGCACTTTAGGCTGGGCTCTCAGATCCCATTCTTGTGGCTACAGCACATCTTAAAGGAAACTCCACTTGGAAACGTGTTTTCAAGAAAATGTTGTGCTCAAAGTGGAAAAAATAGCAGTGGAAATTAATAAAAAGCTGAAACAAATGAAGCTGTTTATGCAGTGCCATTTTAGCTGAGCTTATGAAGGGGAACATTCTAGAAAATGGGTGTAAATAGGTATTTAGTTACAGAGAGTGCATTGTTCTCCTCTCTGTAGATACAGTTTAACAGTGCAGAAACCGACAGGGATTTCGGAATGTTTTCAGCCAAGTTCTGCTAAATCAACCACACGGGTGGATGTAAAAAGAAATAAATTAAAAATGGGGGTTTGGGGATTGTATTTTGCTGATAGAAGGTGAAGCAGAGTGGCTGGAAGGGAGGAGGGGGAGCCTGGGATGGTTCTGAGAAATGCTTTAACAGGTGTCAGTGGTGCCTGCCCATCCCTGTCCTGCAGGGAGCCTGGCAGCCCAGAGGGGCAGGATGGGGCTCAGAGCAGGCACAGCCCCCTGCACTGCTCTGTGACAACTTTCTCACTGTTCCTTTGGGAGTTCTTGGCATTCCCAGGGAGCTCCTTCCCAGGGAAGGACGGGGGCGGTGTTACCCAGCCACAGCTCCGGGCAAGCCTTGAACTGAAGGCTGCCCTTAGTTTAATGATTGATCTCCTAATCTCTCCCTCAACCCTGATAAGAAGAGTTGGAGTTTCCTGGGTGGTGTTTGGCAGAGGCCTCGTTCTGCAGGGGGAGCGTTCTGGTGCCAGGGGTTCCCTGCAGGTCACTGAGCAGCAGCAATGCCCCTTCCAGCTGCCCCTGCCTGCTCCCAGCTGCCTCAGGGCTTCCAGCTTGCCTGACAGAGCTGCCCCTTCCCGTGCCAAAGCGTTCCTTCCATGGGTGGGCTCTGCTAGCCTGGATCTGTCTCCAGGAGCTGCTCGAATTTCCACTTGGGTCCAGCAAAGCCGCTTTGCCTCCGCTGTGTGTGGAGGCAGCGTCAGTGCCACGGCCGTGCCCTGGGTGTTCCAAACAAATCCAAACATCAGCAAGGAGCCCAGGCAAGGCTGGAGGTAGAAGAACATGTTCAAACAGCTCCTTTGAAAAATCCCCAAAAAGCAACCCCACAATATTAACAGGAATGCCCTAAATCTCGCCAGACTGTGTGTGCTGCTAATATAGTTTCTGTGCTGGCTCCCGAGCTGTAGGATAAACTGTCACTGTGAGTTATCACTTGCTGTCACGGGAATAACAAAGAAACCACTCCGAGTTTGTGGGTGTCAAGTGTAATTTATTCTGTTCCTTCAGTGTGTTGGGTTTTGTGCAAAGGGAAGTCGCAGAATTGGGAGCAGTTTGTCAGCAGCACTTGTGGTGTTGTGCAGGGAACACAGCGTAAATCCCACGGCATTTGCACACTGGGTACATTCAGGTGGGACTGCAGGAGCAGCTACTCCTCATTTACTAATCACTGGTGGTGTCTGTGCCCAACCCTTTTGTTTCCCCAAGGGAACGTGTGGAAAACACGAGTCGTCCTGGCGAGACGCAGGTGATGATCCAGAACCTGATGCCAGAGACAGTTTATGTGTTCCGGGTTGTGGCCCAGAACAGGCACGGGCCCGGCGAGAGCTCGGCACTGCTGAAGGTGGCGACGCAGCCCGAGGGTGAGCCGGGATGTTCCTGGAGTTTTCCTCACTTTGGGATCGATACTGATTTTATTTTTTATTCTCCCTGTTCACAACCTTCCCCAGAATCTGATGCTTTTTAAAAGTTGTACTTGCAGATCACAGTTTCCAAAGATTTTCCAGGTCAGTGGGCTTGTGGGATTTATTGTCACCATTAAGAACTGATGGGAACTTGCTAAATTCTCTAAACTGTTATAACAGGAATACTTTTAAATGGTCATTAACTGAAAACGAGAAAACTTTAGGCAAATGCCAAGTCACTTGTTAGGGTCATTCTAGACAGAAGGGAGCCAGGGAGTAGGATTGACTTTGGAAATCTGGTCCCACCTTTCCATCCCGCGGTGGATCCGTGTGGAATGTCACAGTGGGAGAAATCCCCCCTTCTCCTGGGCTGCTGGCCAGGGCTGGGCACAGCAGGCCTGGCACTAACAGAGCTCCCCTTGTGTTGCAGTCCAGCTGCCCGGCCCCGCTCCCAACATCCGCGCCTTCTCCGGCTCCCCCACCTCGGTCACCGTCACCTGGGAGACGCCGCTCTCGGGCAACGGGGACATCCAGAACTACAAACTCTACTACATGGAGAAGGGCCAGCACACGGAGCAGGTACGGGCCTGCTGCACCCGCTCAGGCTGCCCTGAAAGGCTGTGGGTACTTGGGGAGGGGCTGCTTTTCTGACACACCAAATCCTTTAGCCTCAGATGCGGGAAATACTTAAAATCGGAATTGTGACGTGAAATGTTTGTGTCTGGGCTGGGAATGAAACCCGTTTTACTGGTGATTCCCTGTTCTGATATTTGTCACCATCGAGTGGTTTTTGGGGAATTCCATCATATCGTGACAGGAGAAGGCAGAGAGCAGCCATGACGTTGTTGAGCTGTTCTGGTGCAGAAATTATTGCTTTTATATGATATTAAAGCCCCACAGAATTACAGACTGGGTTTTAGCAGTTCAGGCTAAATACTGATTTTGGCATGATCCCTAATCCAAACTTTCTTGAGTTCCTGGACCCAGTGATTGATATTTTGATATTGCTGAGCATCCAATTAATTTAATTTTCTTAGTATCCCACTGAAGCATTCAGTGTGTTCTGTAGAAGTATGGGCTGCCACTTGAGAATGAGGATTAATCCCAGTCCTCACAGCCACTTTCCTCTCTGAGTGCATATCAGTATCATTCCAGCTTTAAAAAGCAAAGGGAAGAATATTATTCTTAGCTTTTAAATATTTTTCACATCAGTTTTTAAATAGGGCTGTTGCCTTTTGTATTTCTGCATCCCACTATTTTGGTTATAATGATAATATGATTTTAAGGGTTTCCAGGTCTCTTTTCACATCCAGGCCCAATGTCCATGTTAGGATTTAAATAGGACAGGGAGAATTTTCTCCTGGAAGCTCAGAGCATCCTCCCAAGTCCTGGCCGTGCCCGAGGGTGACACAGAGCTGTGGGTGGCTGTGCAGGAGCTCTGTGATGCTGCTGGCACTGCAGAGCTGACCTGAGCTTGTGCTGGGGGTGTCATTGGGGACAGGATGTGGATGTGGGGGGCCTGTCCCACACGGTCACGGGGCTGAAGAAGTTCACCGAGTACAGCTTCCGCGTGGTCGCCTACAACAAACACGGCCCCGGCGTCTCCACCCACGACGTGGTGGTCCGGACCCTGTCAGACGGTAAAGCTGCTCCACTTCCTTGTCTTTTGGGGTTTTTCCAGGAATTATCTGGCAATTTCCCACAAGTGAATCTTTAACCTGACTTTTATGGGGTTTGTTCGTTGTTGCGTGTGGCTGTTCCTGGGCAGAACCCCCTGAGGCCTTCCAGAACTGGGTGAAGGAAAATTGCTGCACCTGCAGAAGGATCTGGGATTGTGATTCCAGAACAATGGTGTCCTTCATTCCAGCATCAGCCTTTTATTTCATGGATTATTGAGCCTACAAAAAAAATACACTGAAGGCACCAACTCCAAATTATTTTTTAGGTTCTTTCATATATGAGCAGCCTCTTGGTTTTGGAGTGGTTTTATTTTAATTGTGTTGCTGTGTTTGTGCTCCAGCACAATTGTTAAATCCGTTGCACAGAGTGGTGAGGGCAGGATGTGAGCTCAGTATTTTTTATAAGTCTGATATAAAGAGGTAATGTGAGCAACTGCAGAGTGATCAGAGTTAGAGATAACTTGGATTTGTTAGGAGAAGTTTATATAGAAGAACACTCAGAGGGAAAGGGAGCAGAGCTTGGAATCCTCTCCTCAGGAGTGACCAAGAGCAGAGGGGAATATTGTCCCAAACTCTGGGTCCAGGTTTGTTTCTGGGGCACTTCCTGACTTTGCAGTGGTTTGTGTTTATTTGCTAGTTCAGTTCCTCTTCCATAAGACCCTGTCAGCATCTTCTTGAACCCACACCAACTTTAATCCACAACATGAAGTGGGAAAAGGTTCCACAGATGAATTCCTCTGAAAGATCATCCCCCCTTTCTGTCTGTTCTGCCCCTGCTCTGTGTTACTTTGCCTGGGGCTGTGCTCCTGAAAGAGGGAATGCTCAGTGTCCACTGGTAATTCCTCTGTCCCACTCCTCATTCTGTGGACCTTTGCCATGGTCTCCCTGGTCCATCCATTTTCCAGGTTCCAAAGACACAGGAATGGTTACACATTTCTCCTGGGAAAGCTCATTTAACCTTTAGTGCCCTTTTCTGAACTTCTCTCCAAGTTCCTTTTCTCCTTTGTTTAAAAACTCAGGTAGAGGGGACTAAAATGGCATCAAAGGTGTAAGTAAGGCATTACTTGCATTTGAGGAGCTTTTTGGGTTCTTCTGAGCACCAAGAGGAGTCCTCCCGAAGTCTTTGTGCAGTTCTTTACCACAGGATCCCACCCTGGGATCTCTCGAGCCCATCTCCCTCTGTACCTTCCTGCTCTGACCTTTCCAGCTCCTTACTCCAGCAAGCACTTCCCTCCCGTCCCCTCACTGCTTAAAGTTGAAAGGGTTTCCCTTGAAAGGGAGAGAAATCCCTATTCTGCTCCTGTTCTAGCTCCTGCTCCCTCAATTCCATGCTTTATTGTTACTTTGCTTGGTTTGGTGGAGGTTTCTGACCCAGCAGGTGGAGTTGGAGTGGTCCCATTTTAATGCTGGCACGGCTTTGCCACCTCCGGTATCAAGATAAACTGGGAGAGGTTACAGAAGGCTTGCAGCTGTTTCATTCCCCAGTTCCTTGAGAATTCCTCGATGGATGACACGTGGCTCTGGCAAGGGGCTGCTGTTCCCTGTGTCTGACTCTTCCATAATCCCTTACACTGACACTTCAGTTGGAGAGACCATGGGGATCCTTTGGAAGGGGTCACAGAAAGCTCTCCTTGCCCTTCCCCTCACCACCAGTGCAAAGAGAGACTTGTGTGGCCCTGGCTCTGCCTTTTGTTCCCTGACCGTTTGCTCACTGATTTCTCTGAAGGGCTGCCAGCTCCTTGGTTGTTTAAGGAATTTATTACTAGTTACAATGTCATTTTGAAGTTTTCCTGGAGTTCTTTCTTCTCCAGCTTCAGTTTTCACACTTAACCTATAGGTACTTACTTTCTAAAGCTCTCTGAAGGATGTAATCTTGCTTCTTACAGGCTCATAACCCTGGCAAGCTCTCAAATCTTTGTGAAACGATGCACATTTTCCTCTGTGTTTTCCTGTTGTGGTGTCCAGGAGCAATCTCTATGTTCCCTGCAAGGATTTCTCCCTAAGCCTCCTTTAGCCCTGATTTAACAAAACATCTGCGTTTTTCTGTAGGTTGTTGCTCCTAATCTGTTACAGTGCCTTGTTGCAGGGATAACTCTGCAGGTATTACCATTTGAACCCAGGTTTATGTGCTGCTCCTGAGGATTGCTTCTCCTATTCTGGAATTCCTGATCAGGGATTACAGCTGGGAGTGGAATCTGAGCCTGATTGAGGCCCTTCCCTCCCGTGTCCTGGTGCTCCTGCCTGGCTGCTCTCCATGTGCTGTCCCACTCCAGGAGATGCCTTTCCATAGCAAATCCCTGTTCTTCCTGGGGAGGGTGGGGGTCCCTGGCACAGGGTGCTTCTGTGGATCCCTGGCAGTGCCCCAGGCCAGGCTGGACAGGGCTTGGAGCACCCTGGGATAGTGGAAGGTTCCCATCCCATGGCAGGGATGCACTGGAGGAGCAGAGAAGGCTTGCCTTTGTATCCTCTCCTCTACACCGTGCTGCTGCTTCTCAGCCCACAGCTCTTCATCCTCAGGTGTGATGATTTCAGCTGGGTTGGCAAGGGAAGGCAAATCCTGCTCCTCCCCATTGCTGCCGTGGGCTGCTGGGTGAGGGCCCCATCCCAGTGAGCTTTTCCAAACTCTTCTTCCACTTCATCCCCTCAGGGAGGTTCTCTGGGATGTTACCGTGGCTGGGCTGAGTTATTTGGAAAATGAATTCTGCAGGCTGGAGCAGTCCTCATCCCCCTTTATCCCTGTGCTCCCTGCCCATCGTTGTGCTTCACCAGAGTCTCCCCTTCCTGCCAGGGAAGCCTCAGCTCTGCCTGGGGCCAACGTTTGCTGTGGTGCCACGAGGAATTCCCTGCTCCCAGGGTTTTTCTTCCATCCCCTTTTTTCACTGCCATGAGCAGCCAGTAAAGAACAAGCAAAAAGAGGGAGTTCAAAGACAGCCCCAGTGTCTGAGCTGCTCTTCACCTCCTCACTGTCACAGGGCCCTGGGCACTCAGAGCTTTCCTGTTAGAGAAAATCAGGATAACAAAATCCAGGCCAGAAATTGAAACGTGGGTTCCCCCAGTCAAGCAGTGTGCTCATTAAAGATTTGCCCTGGGGAAGAGCTGGATGGGATACTTTCTCTGAGAATTTGAGAAGTGCTTTTAAATATGAAACATACTTGATTTAGGTAGGTGTGAAAATAAAGACCTGAATAAAGAGTTTTTTCTTCATTATGAAAATACAGAACCCACCTCAGCCATTCACTGTGTCAGGAAGTACCTTAAACCAGGATGGTTTGTACTTCCATAGCAAATGAGAGCAGAGAGTAGTTGGGTGTGGAAATACAATATTTGAAAGTTTTGGGGTTGTAATTCCTTTAATGTTTCCAGTCCCCAGTGCTCCACCGCAGAATCTAACGCTGGAGGTTCGGAATTCCAAGGTAAGATTGGAGGATTTCCTGCTGCCAGTGGGTAAGTTAAAAGACTGGGGGGGTCTTAGATTGGCCACATTTTGGAGCTGTTTTGGGTCTTTTTCCTCCCATGCAGCTTTGGAGCTCTTTATAGAGGATATCTGAATGTGGGGCTTGGAGAAACAGCAGCAGCTGTGGGCTGGGTGTGGTGGGACACAGTGACAGTGCTAATGATGGAAGGGATTTAATGAGGCCCTGAAGGCTCAGAGCTGGAATCCCTGCTCACTGTTTGCAGTGTGGACACACAGAGACAAACTTCTGGAGTGCCTTGAGCACTTGAAAAGAGAAAATGGAATATTTAGTCATTGTGCCTTTGGAATTGCGTGTGGAGATTTTTTTTTGAGCTTTCCAAAAGACTTTTTTTTTTCCAATACCTTTCTGTGCTGCCTTCCCCAGAGCATCCTGCTACAGTGGCAGCCCCCTCCTGCTGGGACCCACAGCGGGCAAATCACGGGCTACAAAATCCGCTACCGGAAAGTTTCCCGCAAGAGCGACGTCACCGAGAGCGTGGGGGGCACGCAGCTCTCCCAGCTCATCGAAGGTGAGCAGGACCTGTCCTCCCAGGGGTGCCTGGCTGTGCTTAGGGGGCTCAGGGACAGGATCCCATTGGGTTCCTGCAGGGTTCTGTCCTCCCAGGGGTGCCTGGCTGTGCTTAGGGGGCTCAGGGACAGGATCCCATTGGGTTCCTGCAGGGTTCTGTCCTCCCAGGGGTGCCTGGCTGTGTTTAGGGGGCTCAGGGACAGGATCCCATTGGGTTCCTGCAGGGTTCTGTCCTCCCAGGGGTGCCTGGCTGTGTTTAGGGGGCTCAGGGACAGGATCCCATTGGGTTCCTACCTTCAAGACAAACCGAAGCAGCTCCCAGAGGAGCTCTGGGGTTGTGTGGGCTGCAGGTGGTGCCTGGGGCCTGGTGACCTGATTCCTAGCCTGATTTGGCCATGGATTTGCTGAGTAGACTGGATGATTCCTTATAAAATGGCTTTTAAAGGCCTGGAGAAGGCGATTCTGGGTTCCTTGTGTGCCCAAATGCCAGAGGTGGAGGGCACAGGAGCAGGGGATGGGCAGGGTTGGCACAGGCACCTGGACCCAGCTCCGAACCCTGGGAACGGCTGGCCCTGGGCATCCCTGGAACATCCCACCTCATGGCCATGGAATGTTCTAGAGGGAATGCTTTTCCTCCTTTTGGACACAGAAAAATCCAGTCTAGTGTCAGTCACGTGTTGCTGCCAGAGCTGCAGTTGTGTTCAGCAGGAACAAACAGTGCATGAGAGCAGGAGCAGCACTACATTTGTTCCTCTTTAAAACCTCTGTAAAGGAATACTTGCATTCCCAAAAAGAGAAGAAACTGGGAGTGTCTGGAAGAGTTTCTAACAAGAGACACTGATTTTTTCTCAGAAACTCCAGCTGTGACTTAGTGAGTCTCAGTTTTCTCACAGAATTGAGATATTCCTGTAATTCCAGAGTATTTTTGCCAGCAACAAAACCTGCTGGGGAGGTTCAGTATATCAAATTTTGACTGCCTTTTCACAGTGCTCTGATTTTTTAGTACAGACTCTTACAGGCATTAAACAAGTGTGAGTCTGCTCACCTGCTGCCTCTGTGCCACCCCCAGGTTTGCTGATGGCAGGGGTGTTCCTGTTCTTAAATCTAATTAATTAAATTAATTAACTGCCCTAAGTTCAAGCGTGGCTACAAGCAGGCCCTCCCAGTCTTTTGCATTATAAACAGATGGGACTTTAGTTTCTTTCTGCAGCAAAGCTGAATCTTTTGTTTCATAACTTACATTTTTATAGGAATATCAGAAGGCATTGTATTAAATTTGATTTAAAAAATTAAATTTAAATTTAATTTTAATTGAATTGAAATAATACACTGAAATTTGGTTTATTGGTTAGTAAAGGCTAGTGTACACATTTATCAAACTTCTCTATTTTTAGACAGTTCACATTTTTTTTGCGGATTTTTAGGGGATAGAATTTTTGTTTTTATAGGTGTGGTTTATTTTTCTTTATAAGACCAGATTGTTATGTAAACTGATTTTCATTTTTGTGATTTTTTGCGTGGGAATTTGCGGGGTTAGCTGTTAATTCAGGCCTAGGACAGGACATCAGGAGCCTTTTGTTAATCACACGTTTAAGTTCTGTGCAGCACCTGCCCTGTCCAGCACTGACAGTGGAGGGCTGGGATATCCATGGCCCCTGGGATTTAACTGGGATCAGTGGGAATGCCAGGCTGCTGGATCAGTGGGAATGATCAGTGGGAATGCCAGGCTGCTGGATCAGTGGGAATGATCAGTGGGAATGCCGGGCTGCTGGATCTCTGGGAATGCCGGGCTGCTGGATCTCTGGGAATGCCGGGCTGCTGGATCTCTGGGAATGCCGGACAGAGCTGTGGCCGTGTCCCGCAGGGCTGGAGCGAGGCACTGAGTACAGTTTCCGCGTGGCTGCCATGACCATCAACGGCACCGGCCCCGCCACAGACTGGGTGTCAGCCGAGACCTTCGAGAGCGACCTGGACGGTGAGAGGAGCCCGGGACCGGGACTGCAGAGCGTGGGGGTTCCTTCATTTCACCTCACCCACATCTGGCTGCCTCTTTGGAGGGCAAACCTCTGTGCTCTCACTTCTGGGCTGGGTGTACAGTGGGGTTTATCTAGGATTGACACCGATTTCTACTTAACAGAAAATTCTTGCCAAGCCAATAAAGCGGCTTGAAATGAAACTCTGCTCCTACACTTCCTAGTGCTGTATGTCGGCAGCAAGTGCCTCCTGCTAAGCCATGCTCCTTTATAGTGACAATGAGAGTAAGAAAGAAATCATGGGAAACATTCTCACAGCCCTTTGCAGTCTCACCCCCGTGGTGGTGCTGTGCTTTCTTTGACCCACAGTAACTTATTTTGCACAGAAGAAAAGGGAGATGAATTATATTTTCTGTATTTTCTGCACCACATCTTCCAGCAGAAATTCTGCTGCGGGTATTAAGTAAAAGTGATATTAAAATTGTGGGTATTAGAATAATTTGAAATATTTGAATAATTGAAGTAATTTGAATAATTTGAAATAATTGAATAATTGAAAATTCCAATGATGGCGGAAAGGTTCCTGAGCTTGTTGGAGTTTTAAGTGGGATATCCCAAAGCTCTTTGCATGTGCTGTAACACATGCAAACCCTCAGCAGAGGGTCTGCTTCACCAAGTCTGTGGATTTGTGGGCTGTCAGAGCAGGCTCAGTGATCCTGGCAGCTGGGAGGTGGAATAATGGAATATTCTAGTGGAATAATGGGTCAATATTTGCTCTCTGCTGCCAGAGGATCCTTCAGCAGCCGGCTCAGGAAGCCTAGAAAACCCTTTTCCCATCTCTGTGTGGTGAACAGAGCAGTTCAGGGATGTGGATACTGGAAATTCCTTTTTCCATGTGTCTTAGTGGATGTGATGCAGCCTTGGAGCTGCCAGTCCAAAAGTGGGGCAGAGCTCTGTAAATGAGCACCTCACAGGGCAGTGGGAGTGTCCCTGAACTGGAGTTAACAACACTTCGCCAGAGGACAGCACCAGGATTGAATTTAAATTTAAACAGGGCAGAAGGAAGAAGAAGAATTACATTTTCCTTCTCTGTTGGCTTTGTCATTTAGATTTTTTCACCTTCAAGATGTTGTAGGAAATCTGACTTTCTACACATTCTTTCCATTGAATAAAGCAGTAAAAAATGACATTTAAGACAACATAACTTGATATTCATATAACTCTGTGTACACCTGTGAGATCTGTGTGCACACTGCATTTCTTGGGTTTCTTTCTTTAGAAAGCTCATGTGGATAATTTTAACACCATGCAAATGCAATTACAGCTCATCTTGCATTTCTTAGGCTCTACAGACACATGAGGCATAGTTTCCTTTTATTCCAGGCCTGCTTTTGGAGTTTAAATAGAAAATAATTCCCCAGAGAGTGCCATGGATGTAAAGGGGAGCCAGGAGCAGGTTCCCCCTGAGCACAGAGCAGGAGGAGTTGAGCAGTTGTACAGAGCTCGTCCCCAGTGCAGTGGAAATGTCACCTCTCCTGCTGCACTTGGAGCTTTGCTGAGTTTAAATGCTGGGAGCTGGAACTGCTGGGCTGTGTCAGCAGCAGCCCAGGAGCTCCCCGGGCTGGGGGCCAGGGCTGTGCTGCGATCCAAATAATCCTGTTGTGGTGCTTTATGAAATGTTTGTAGAGGAACGCAGCGTGTTTCATTAAAACCAAATCCCTGCAGGAAGCACAAGTCCTTGATTCCATTTGGAGTGGGGAGTTCAGTTTGTGATTGCAGGGAATTACCCCTAATCCGCCAGCACCCGACAAAAGGATTTATTTCATTTTTGAGAAGTGAACCCAAAGTTAGGGACACTCCAGGGACAGTTGGGAGGTTGCTTTTAGGTTCCAGTCAACAGTGGGGAAAAGCCTCTTAGGAGAAATATTAGGGGCTTACAGTGGCACGCTGTGGAAGTGTTCTGGTGTCAGGGATCCACATTCTGTGTCTCTGTGGGGTAGGGTGAGACTCGTGTTGCTTTTGGGGCAAGGGTTTGAACATTTGATGTGGACTCTGTATTTTCTGAACTTTTAGTCTGGCTGTGTAGTTGTAGCAACTATAGGAACCCAAGGATCTAGGCAGTGACAAGTGTAGGACAATTGAGGAGACCCCTTTGCAGTGCAGTTTTTACAGCTGTGGAATATCCTATTTAATGCTACAGCTCAGGAACCTTTCTTTCATCACCAGACTTTTCCATGTAATTATTGTAAAACCCACAAGTAAGGGATATGGTGGAACTGAAAGTGGATGAATTTGTGGATAAAACTGGCGTGTATTTGGAAAAGTGGGTGATATCATGGGCACCACAGATCTGCCTGAGATCCGATACCAAAACCATCCCAAGCCCCTAAGCTTCAGCACAGCTGTTCTGCCTTTTAAAGGGAGCATCTATTGGAGCGCAACGTTAATGTTCTGCTGTCTCCTGCACAGCAGAGCTTCACTGAGCTCATTCCCACACACACGAGCGCTTTGTTTGACCTTCCTGCCTCACGGTCTCCGTGTCTTTGCCTCTGTTTGAGAGAAGGCGTTGCAGTGCCCCTGTTTCCCTGCAGAGAGCCGTGTGCCCGAGGTGCCCAGCTCCCTGCACGTGCGGCCGCTGGTCACCAGCATCGTGGTGAGCTGGACCCCGCCCGAGAACCAGGACGTGGTGGTCAGGGGATACGCCATCGGCTACGGCATCGGCAGCCCCCACGCCCAGACCATCAAGGTGGACTACAAACAGAGATACTACACCATTGAGAACCTGGGTGAGTGCAGGGAACGTGCCCAGCCTCCCTCAGCACTCCCTAAACAACTTCCACGGGAGCAGCAGCCCGAGTTCACCGTGCTCCGTGCGGAGCTGCGTGAGAAAAAGGGACTGAAATGTCATCAGGATTCACTGGTGGCTCCTTTAAAAGGAGAATAAAGATTCACCCCTCCACAGAACTCTCTGTGGGAGGTAAAATAGTGTGAACGTGAGAAAAAGAGCAATACTGGGAATTCCATCAAATCAGAGGTTTGAGTAATTTTGGTTTTGTTCTTTAAAATTGTTTTTCTCGCTCCTGATTTGGCTGCACTTAAAGATAGATTTGCTGTAACTATAGACTCAAGCCGTGGTGTCCCTGCCCAGGCAGGAGGTGGAATGAGATGGGCTTTAAGGTCCCTTCCAACCCAAACCAGTCTGGGATTCTGTGGCCATGAACAGAAGGTCTGTGTGGGGACTTTCTCAGTTCAAATCACATATTCCAGTTCAAAATTAAAATACTGAACAAAGAGGGTATGGAGAAGCAGAAAGCAGGATTGTGCAGGTTGTGCTGATTTCTTTTCCCCTTCAGATCCCAGCTCTCACTACGTGATAACCCTGAAAGCCTTCAACAACGTGGGGGAAGGGATCCCCCTGTACGAGAGCGCAGTGACCCGGCCCCACTCCGGTGAGTCCTGCCCTGCAGCCAGGATGGGCTGGGGGTGCTGGGGGGTCCTGGCTGTCAGTTCACCCCGTGCTCTCTGTCCCTGTCACTGCTTGGCCCCGCACGTTCCCGATAAACCAGCTAAATCGGGCTCATTTGTAAATTCCAGACTCACCTGACAGCTACTAATGGATGTTCTCACTCCAAACGTTCCCCTTACCTGGGCCTAGCCCACGTGGGCACGGTTCTGGACACGCTGCCTGTGTTTGCTTCGTGTCCCTCTGTTGTCACTCACTCTAAACAAAATCTGGGCAGTTTTTATTTTGGCCTGGTAATCCATAAAGAAAAGAGTTTAAGCAGAGAAGTGTGCAGGTGTGCTGTTGCCATGCTCCCTCCCAGCCTGCTGACACCAGCCAGGAATTTGGTGGAGGTGCAACACGTGGGGTTAGTCCTGAATGCTTGGAGATCCTCCAGAGGATGCTGGAATTGCAGTTTCACAGTTACTGCAAGTTGGTCCCTCTCTTGGAACCTACTTTTGAGGGTGCCTTTTGGGAGGTCCCCGTGTGTCTGGGAAGTGGAATTTGCCCATCCAGAGCTCCAACTCTGTGTCCTCCTCGTTGTTTTCTGGGAGAGCACTCAGTGGACACTCGGGGCAAATGAAGTCACAGTGACTGAGTGTTTGGGGTTCTTGGGCCATGGCTGTGTGCCCTGGGCACTAATGAGAGCTACGCCAGCAGGGATTTGTTGTTTTACTGTCTGGAGGAGGGAGGACAATGCAAAGAGTGATGTTATTGCCCAGTCTAATGTCACCTATTAACTCTGGCTTTTCTCTCTTTCTCTCCATTCCTCACCTTCCATCTCATTGCACTTCCCTGCATCCCCTCTTTTTTTGTTTTGGTTGACATTAAAATGCCACCTCCTCCCTTTTTAATTATAAACCACGGCCTTTTCCCCATGGATTGCGCAGACACTTCCGAGGTTGATTTGTTTGTTATTAATGCTCCATACACTCCAGTGCCAGATCCGTCTCCCATGATGCCCCCGGTGGGAGTTCAGGCTTCCATCCTGAGCCATGACACCATCCGGATCACTTGGGCAGACAACTCCCTGCCCAAGAACCAGAAGATCACGGACGCGCGGTTCTACACCGTCCGCTGGAAAACCAACATCCCTGCCAACACCAAGTACAAGGTACCGGGAGCTTCCCAGCCCAGCAGGGCAGGGCACAGCTCTGGGAACGCTGCTGGGCTCTGTGGAGGGGCAGGATTCCTCCAGCTCCGCTCCCAGGGGAAGGCAGAGCTGAGGGAATGCTGCCAGGATTGCCCTGGGTCTGCTGGGAGCAGTTCTTTGTGTCTCCTGTGGGAAGGAGCTGGAGCTGGGACAGTGTTCTGGGAGCGGATGGAAGAGCTGCTTCAGGGCAGGAACAGACATTTCCAGCGTTGTTCTGTTCTGTGGACACTATCTGTGAGCCCTGCAGGGAAAACACATTTACCCCCATGGTCTGAAATTTCCTCATAGGGCCTTTTCAGTTTGTGCAAAGCTGGTAGTGAGCCTTTCCTTTGGGAGCTGACTGGCTTCAAAACACACAGCAAAAACTTGATGATATCCTTGCCTTCCTCCGTTTTCATGTGTTTGGATTTGGGGACTGGATTTGGGTTTGGTTTGGTGGTTGGTTGGATTTTTTTATGAATTTTCAGAGTTACCTGGAGGGCTCAAAGCTGCTGACTGCAAATTTCACATTTGTAACGAGACTCAGAGGAACTGGTAGTTAAAATACCCAGCCAGTGGAGCTCCCTTTATGCTCCTGCAGAGCCACCATGTTATAATCTAGATCTTTTCTTTATTGAAAAGAAAAGATGTAAATATGTGTGTATTCCTCCTCTAAAGGCAAGTTACTTCTGAGCCACATTCCTGAGTCATGTGCAAGGGATGTCTCAGGAGTGGTTTAAATAAAGCTGCAGTTTCATTAGCTAATTGCTTAAAAGATTGAAATAAAATAGAAGATGGAATAAAATAGTAAATTTACTATTCCCATTGTTCCAGTGCTCGTGGTCAGTGGGCAACAACAAGTTTTGCTGTGACCAAAACCAACAAGGAATGATGGAATATAGTTTAAAATTACTCAAGATTGTAGAAAGGATTTGCCTGAAGGAGAGAAGTTTGAGGTATTTGCTCCCATCACACATGACCCGTGGTGTCTGGAGAGCCCACATCCTGGTTTTCTTCCCCTGTTTTTGTTGGAGCTCCTCTCCTGTACTGCTGGATGTGTTTTGGGAGGTCAGACCCTTGCAGGGAGTGCTGGCTCTCATTCAGGCTGTGAATGAGAACACACTGCTTGTCCTGGCCCCTCTGCAGCTCCTGCTCGCTGCTCCAGAGCTTTAGAGTGTCCCCGTTCCTGGGGACAGAAATCCTGCGTCACCTCTGCAGGATCCAGAGCTGCAGCTGCTCACTGGCTGGGGTTTCATTCTTCCTCTCATCCCAAACTGGGTGTTGAGATGGTTCTCTGAGATTTTCTGCCTCTGCCCTGTTCCTGGCCCGTCACAAGCTCCTGAGGACGAGGCTGTGTGCTCCTGGCACTTGTTCTCCTCAGTTTGTGCAGGATTGTGCCAGGCTGAGCCTGGAAGCCCAGGAGCAGATGGGCTGCAGTTTCCAAAGCCCCCTTGTTGGTGTGTGGGCTTGTCCTGCAGCTACCTGGGATCCATCAGGGATCAATGAAAATATTAAAGGTTGGATCTTTTAGGATTGCATAAAAGAGAAACAAGTTTTTCAGGATAGTATTTATGGGATTTATTTCTAGCAGGTGAGCAGGGTTTGGTACCATGGGATGGGCTGGGATCTTAAAAATAACAAAGTGCTGTTAGAGATGCACAGGGAAACGAAAAGATCCCAAGATTCCAAGCCAGAGATGGAAACCAGAACTTTCACCTGGAAAAGGAGCCCAGCTGCCACATCAAATAATACAAATACTGGAATGCCTAAATAAATACTGCTGGGAATTCCAGCATCCCAGAGGGGAAGAGCTTTTTGGGGTAAGGCAGCTGGTAATGGCAGGTGGGGAGGAAAGATTCCTGCCTTGGACTTGTCATTCCATCGCTCCCAGCGAGGCCTGCACTCCCTGCCTTCCCCAGGGAGCTGTGCCCGTTCCAGCTGTGCCCATTCCAGCTGTGCCCATTCCAGCTGTGTGACAGCCCCTCAGCCACAGTCCCCCCCACTCCAAACTGCACTGAGTGTGTACCAAGGAGAGGCTTAAAGCCAATGGAGGATTTAATTTTAATTCATTCTGTGAGTCTTTGGCCACAGACAGCAAAGCCCTGGGCACCCTTGAAACACCATTTCCTGAACTTCCATCCCTTGTAAGAAAAAGAAAATGAAGATATTGGAGATCTCAGACTGGAGCCTTTGGGAAAGGTGCCTTTACCTTGGCATTAAATCAGCTGCACTCTTTTGGTGCTTTCTGGAGGCAGTGGCTGTTGCAGTTGTTTTATGGCCCTGTCAGATCCTGAAACAGCTCTTGAATTCTGTGTTTACACCACTGCAGGCCAAGGTGAGGAATATCCATATCTGTAAATACAGCTCTCCTTCTCTTCCATGGGCTTCCAGTACATTCTTTTGGTGCTGAAGCCATTTACAACAAACACAAAATGTGTAAAAATGCTGAATTACAAATTCCGCTATGACCCACGTGTAGTTTCCTTGTGTGATCCTAGATAACCATTTTTTCTGAAAAGAATCTACATTTTGGTAAAGATTCATTCACCTCAAGTCTCACAAGTGTATCTTTAGTTGATTTGTTTATTACATTTAAGGTTGTTCTGGAAATTGCAGCAGGAATCTGGGAGGCAGCTCCAGGTTCTGAGCAGGACTGTTCCACGCTGTGCTTTTTGTTTTCCCCAGCCAGAGGAGTTAATGAAATGCTGTAGATGAACCCCCAGGTAAACAGGGCTTTAACCACTGCATAACAAGTGGGCCCTGGACCTTGTTTTGTCTTTTTTCATTTCTAATTGGCTGCTGTTAAGTGCTCCTGCTGATTGCAGGATCTCTAGTGGAGGATAAACGTTGATATTTGATTAATGAATTTGCACGGCAGAGAAGAGCCAGCCCTGAATTAATGGCTGTGGTTCTGGAAATGCTGGGAACACCTGGGCTGGGGGTGTCTGAGGGCTGTGGGGAGTGCTGCTCACCCTGCTTTCCCTTTCAGACTGCAAATGCCACCACCCTGAGCTATCTGGTGACGGGGCTGAAGCCAAACACCCTCTATGAGTTCTCGGTGATGGTGACCAAGGGCAGGAGATCCAGCACCTGGAGCATGACAGCGCACGGGACAACCTTTGAATTAGGTACTCCTGGGCTGGATATTCCCAAAGAAACCTCCCCCTGAAATGGTTCTGCTGATTAACACTTGCTGGGGTGGGGGTCTGAATAGTTCAGTCAGAAATTCTGATTAATAAACAACAACATTCTTCAAAATTGCAAGGGATGATTGCAGGAGAATTTACATCAAATTACAGAGAAGTCATGAATAATTTACCACGGTTCATGGGCAGGAGAGAAGAAAGTCTCACAAAAAACACATTAACAGCAAACACAAAGAAAACACTTCTGCACAAATAATTAAAATTTGCTGTAAATGTGATGATAATTTTTACAGAGTGAGAAGGTGCACGAGGCAGATGAAGACAAAAAATCACAGTGGGCATTAAGATGTGCAGGTGAGCCCTAAATTCCTGTCAGTGCAGAACAGAGTCAGGCCCAGGGAGTGACTGTGGGGGCCAGGCCCTCTCCCTGACCTGTCCCTCATTAGCTCTTCTTACCCTGCAGTGTTAAATGAACTTTGGGCAATTAAATTTACTGCTTATTATGCTTAGGTTTCTCTTCAGATGGACTGTGGAGGACAAGAAGCCCATCCAAATGAGCCCAGAGTTCTCCTTCTGAATTAAAATACAGCCAAAAAAATCAAACATGCAAAGAATTTGTGAGATTTTCCAGATATTCTATCATAAAAATTCTATCATTTCTGCTTAAGAAAAAGCAAACCCAGGGTAAAATCTGAACTCTCTGAGCATACTCAGAAGTCCCAGTGAGTTTCAGTTGCTTTGGAAAACATTGTCGTGGTTTTGGGTGAGAATTCCATGATGTGGAGCCAGCTCTGGGCTGGGGCTCCTTTCCCATCCCTCTATTCCCAGCCCACATTAAACCCCCCGCTTGCTGCTGCCACATGTTCAATCCTCAGCCGTAGCTCTGCTCTGAGTGCAGGGACTGTTAAAGCTGCAGAAATAAAGTTTTTTTGAAGAGAATTTGACACAAAGCCCCTGAGCAAGGGCACAGTGCAGGAGGGCTCAGTGCATTTAAATAGGAAGGGTCAGGTTGAAGTGCTTGTAAGGAATTATTTTCAAAGACAATCCCAATAGCTGAGGAACTGAGGAATAAGTTTAAAATAGAAATTAAAAGAAAAAAAGGTTAAATATATTTTCTTATAACAGATCTTATGATTTATAATACTGGCCAAATTCCTGAGTGAGTGGCTCATTATTTTGGGATACTCTTGAGAAGTTGTGTAGGACTTGCTCCCAAAAGGAAAATAGGGAATTCTGGGCTCTGTGTTGTCTGTGTTCCTGATCTCCTGTGGGCTACTTCTGATTTTCTATTTTTGTTTCCTCTGAATCCTGTTTTTACATATTTGGGGCAATAATTACAATAACTTCTTGGCTGTGGCTGTCCCTGGTTTCCAGCTCTTCATCACGAGGATAACTGGTGGCCATCCCAGAGGATTTATGGCTGGATTTCCAAGAGGTCACACACATAAAGCTCTGGAAATGCAGGAAGTTCAGCAGTACTGTGGCTGGATCAAATCCACGAGGTGGATTTGCTCCGGGTTGTCCCCTCAGGAGCCTCCTGGATTTCAGGATGTGGCACTGCAGGGATGGTCAGTGCCCTCTGGCTTCAGTTCACAGCAAGGATTTCAGTTTTCTGCTGGAGAAATTTGTGCTGTTTCCTGATTTTTTATCAGGAGAGGCTGATGGGAGAAGGAAAACTCTTCCTTTCCTTCCCTTCCCTCAGTGCTGCTCTCTGGCAACCCCATGGAGAAAGGTTGGCCGGTTGTGTTCAGCAAATCCTTCTGCATTTGAAACCCCTCTGGGGTGCAGATGCCTTCCAGATCACAAATCATTCTTCAGGATTCATTCAGCCATTCCAGGTTTGCCCAGAGATTGTTCCCCAGAGCAGCTGGAGCTGCCTCTGCATCCCTGGAGAGTCCCAGGCCAGGCTGGACGGGGCTTGGAGCACCCTGGGACAGTGGAAGTGTCCCTGCCGTGGCAGGGGTGGCACTGGGTGGGCTTTAAGGTCCCTTCCAACCCAAACCATTCCAGCCTGGTATAATTCTCAGTTGCTGGTGGATTTACTTTGCTGATTGGGATTTAAGTGGCAAATGGGCACTTTTGGGTCTGAGTCCCATCATAAACCTGCAAACAGGGAGATATTTCAGATGCCTGCCTACACAGAATGTATGGTTCACAGTTTGTGGGATTTTTCTGATGACTGCAGAAATTCAGGTGAGGAATCACTGGCCCCAGTTGTCCAGGTTTTTGAGGATGCCCAGTCATGGATCACATCTGGTGCCAGAAGTGCTCTGGAAAGGGGAAGCTCCATATGGGCTGGAGGCAGTGACCCTGGATGGCACTGGCCAGTGAGGGGGTGAATCAGCGAGACGCTGCAGGATGGGGGGATTTATACAAGTAAAGAGAATAATCCAGATATAATTGTATTGCACGTCAGATGAAGATCCAGAGCCCTGAGGTGATGGTTCAGAGGTGTGACAGAGCAGGCAGAGCTGCTGACACTCTGGGTTTGTTGTTTCAGTGCCAACGTCACCCCCCAAGGACGTGACCGTGGTGAGCAAGGAGGGCAAGCCCCGCACCATCATCGTCAACTGGCAGCCGCCCTCCGAGGCCAACGGCAAAATCACAGGTGGGGCACGAGGGAGCCGGGCCTGGGGCTGCCCCTGCCTGCTTGGCCAGTCCCTGCACCAGCTCACATTCCTTATTTCCTTCTGTACTCCAGCAAAATCTGTTCAGATGCAAACTAACTGCAGTGGGAAATGGAAGTGGAGTCAGAAATCCAGCTGAAAGTTTAAATATCTCTGTAACCTTTGCTTGTGCTGTTCTGATAGCACTCCTCCAGTAATTATCCCTAGTGCCTCTGGCTGTCAAACTTTATTTAGGAGAAGCCATCCCAGTGCTCTTTGTCATCTTTGTGACATTTTTGTGTCACAGAACAGACTTCAGAGCAGTTTTTTGTTCCCCTGACTGAACCATTAAGAGTAAACTGTTATTTACCTTGAACTGCATCACTGCCACATAGGATAAATCGCTTTTCAGAAAGTAATAATTGCTTATTCCCTTCTGTAATTTCTGTTCAGATTCCCATTTAGAAGGGCTTTCTGAAATAATCCACTTTTAAAACTGAAATCAGATTTTAATGGCATGTTGTCTGGTTTTGGGTCTGAGCTCAGAATTAACCATGGTGCAGAATCAAAGCTGGGACACCCCCCGATCGAGCAGGACTGGAGCCCAGGCTCTGGACAGGAGATTAAAACTGATTAAATCCCTGGGAAAGGGCAGCAAAATGTTTCCATGGGAAAGGAGGATTGACTGGAGACCCAGAAGCCTTTGGTGCAGGATTTGGCTGCCAGTGAGGGGCACAAATATCTCTCACTGGGGCACAGCTGAGGGAGAGGAAACAGCTACAGAGAGCAGCATTTACCTGCACTGGGCTGGCAGCTTTTTCCCACTGTCCAGCCCAAACATCCCCTGGCAGAGAGGGAAACCCTTGGGACAGAACTGTTCAGTATTTATCAGCTTTTGCACAAGCAGCAGTTAACAGCTCAAAAATGAGGTAAAACAGGGATTCAGGGCTAAGCCTGAGTGCAGCAGGCACCAGCTCCCCATTCCCAGAGCCCAGCTCCCCATTCCCAGAGCCCAGCTCCCCATTCCCAGAGCCCAGCTCCCCATTCCCAGAGCCCAGCTCCCCATTCCCAGAGCCCAGCCCCCCATTCCCAGAGCCCAGCTCCCCATTCCCAGAGCCCAGCTCCCCATTCCCAGAGCCCAGCTCCCCATTCCCAGAGCCCAGCTCCCCATTCCCAGAGCCCAGCTCCCCATTCCCAGAGCCCAGCTCCCCATTCCCAGAGCCCAGCTCCCCATTCCCAGAGCCCAGCTCCCCATTCCCAGAGCCCAGCTCCCCATTCCCAGAGCCCAGCTCCCCATTCCCAGAGCCCAGCTCCCCATTCCCAGAGCCCAGCTCCCCATTCCCAGAGCCCAGCTCCCCATTCCCAGAGCCCAGCTCCAGCTCCCCGTTCCCAAAGCCCAGCTCCCATTCCCAGAGCCCACCTCCAGTTCCCCTTTCCCAAAGCCCAGCTCCCATTCCCAGAGCTCAGTTCCCCTTTCCCAGAGCCCATTTCCAGTTCCCCTTTCCCAGAGCCCAGCTCCAGTTCCCCTTTCCCAAAGCCCAGCTCCCATTCCCAGAGCCCAAGCAGTTTTTGGGATGTGGGGTCCGAGTGCCCTCTGGTGGGAGCAGCCCGTCAGCCAAGGGCTCAGCACTAATTAATTACTCATTAACTCACACTGTGCTGTCAGTGGTGCCAGAATTCCAAGTTCTGATGTCATTCCATGGCCCCCTGTCCATGGAATGCTCAGCACTGCAGCTCCAGCCTCCCTGGCTGGGCATGGGATGGGCAGGAATGCTGAGCCATGTGCTCGAGCATCGTTAGAGCTGCTGACTAATTAGGACACTCTAAAGTTAATTAGTTAATTCACTACTTGTGCCTCTAGACTGTTAGAATGCTTTTAGCATCACTTCATATATGTGTGTATATATATATGTGTGTGTATTTATATATATATAAATATATTTCAGATAGATTTATAGATACACAACAGAGATAGCTATATAGATATATATATAACAGATATATAATACTATAAAAATTTGTATTTCCATATATGCTACATATAAAATAAATACTTGAAGCTAGATATGGATATAAATAATGATACAAATGTAGAAATAATATATGAAAATATATAGTGTATATTGTGTTATATACAATGCATTTTAAATACAGATTCAAGTATTTTTTTCTATGTGTATATAAATATAGAGAGGTTCAAGTATTTATTTTATGCTGATCTGTGTTTCTGTATAAAAAAGTTGCAAAGATTTTACTAGATAATTGGTGATTTCACTGTATTTTAATATCAGAACATAAACTCTTCCCATACCTTTTTTTCTGGGATGTGCAGGGCAGCCTCAATTCTCTTCAGGTTCTTGTTGCCTTTGTTAATAATAATGAAATCATTACAAACACAAGTGGTTTCACTGTGTGTGGGAATGTTTCGTTGTTTTAACGTAATTTAAATAATATATTAATTCTTTGAGGATGTTTTGATAATGGCAGCTTTATTTTATTTGCTGTATAAATAGGTAAAGGGATGGAGATAGCAATTTGTCCACAATCAGGGAATGGGGATCAGAAATAACCTTGATGTTTTAAATGGCTTTTTTCTCTTACCATGAATTTTGAACAGTTCTGAGGAAAGGTGGGAGGGCTGGCTGATATTTGAGTATGGTTTTAACGTTTGCCAGAGCACACTTGGGAAGCCCCTGGTGCTTCCCTGGCAAACAGAACATTTCCAGAGGGCTCCTTTACGGACAGACGTGGCTTTCCCCTCCCAGGCTACATCATCTACTACAGCACGGACGTCAACGCCGAGATCCACGACTGGGTCATCGAGCCCGTGGTGGGCAACAGGCTCACACACCAGATCCAGGAGCTCACCCTGGACACTCCCTACTTCTTCAAGATCCAGGCCCGCAACTCCAAGGGCATGGGGCCCATGTCTGAGGCCGTGCAGTTCCGCACCCCCAAAGGTACCCTGGCCCCGAGGTGCTGGGAGCACTGGGAGTGCTGGGAGCGTGGGCTGGCCCCTGGGAAGGGCAGCTCTGAGGCTGGAGAGTTTGCCATGGGCTTGGGATGGCATGGAGCAGGGAATCCCAGGGCTGGAGAGTTTGCCATGGGCTTGGGATGGTGTGGAGCAGGGAATCCCAGGGCTGGAGAGTTTGCCATGGGCTTGGGATGGCATGGAGCAGGGAATCCCAGGGCTGGAGCTCAGCTCTTGGCTCCACCAGCTGTTCCTCAGGGACCTCTGGGCCGGTCCCTTGTCACAAACCCGGGCTGGCTGCAGTGAAAGTCGGGTTCTGTGTGTCACATCTGCTTCTGGGAATGGGATGGGGCAGTGGGAATTCGTGGGATGCAGCAGGCCCCTAATTCAGGAAGTGATGGTGATGGGCAAGCAGTGAAGAGTAAAATGTGAGAGAACTTGGGAAAAATAAAATTATGAGCTTACTGCCATAGAATCCTATCACAGAATTGAGTTAGGAGGGACCTTACAGCCCATCCATGGGCAGGGACACTTCCAGCAGCCCAGGTTGCTCCAAGCCCTGTCCAACCTGGCCTTGGACACTTCTCCACGTGAGTTTTAGTGCTGAGAATCAAGAGCTGCATCCTGTGCTGTGGGAAACTTGGAATTCTGTTTCACTCCTTCAAGCCTTGTGATGTGTCTCTTGTTTTTTTCCTCCCTGTGCTTGCCCCACTAAGCTGAGTCCTCAGATAAAATGCCCAATGACCAAGGTAAATGAACAGCCACATTTCTCTTCTCTCCATCCCTCACTGTTGTGCTTTGCTGTCCATGTGCTGTGACATTTTTTAAGTGGAGCACGATCCTGTTGCTCCGACTGGGAAGGGGCGAGTTCCTGCTGTGCTGCCAGGGAGAGCTGGAAGTCCTGGCTGTGGGTGGGAAGAGTTTGAGGTGTCCCTGAAGGGCCATGGGGGTTGTGCCAGAGCTGAATCCTTCTGGAGGAATGGCTTTGGAGCCAGTGGTGCCCCATCCAGCCCCTGCCCACATCCAAGGGGGTGGAAGATAAAAGGGATTCTGGTTAGCACAAGTGCTGCTTGCAAGGATTCATTCCATAATAAAGGCAGGGAAGCCCTGGAAAGCTCTGTGCAGGAGAGATTCTGCCTGTCAGCTCATTTGGGGCCCAGACTCTCCTGAGGAGCCCAGCACTGGCTCCTAAAAGCCTTAAGGTTTTAAAATGTTTGCTTGAAAAATGGTAGCTTTGAGCTTCCTACATCGAATTAGGAGGTGGATGTCCCAGGGCACTTCTTGCTTTCTTCCAAATAACCTACAAACCTCATAAAAAGGGGGAGAATTAGTCTGAAGGGATGAGTTAAAAAGGCCATTGGCAAACAGCTTAGACATGCAATTAAAGAGATCCTAAAAGGGCTCTGAGGGAGCTGCTCCTCGCTTGGCTCCTCAGCTTGGTGCTCAGAGTAATTTATTAAATGTGCTTTTACTCTGTACCAGGTGATGCTGCTAGCAGGGGCAGTCAGGGAGTCAGTTGGTCCCCATCCCTGTGTCCTGGAGGTGGGGCTGAGGTTTGGGCTGTCTGGGGATGCTCCAATGGCATTGTCCTGCTCACCTGCAGCAGGATGGATTTGGGAAAGGTTACAGGGTTTTAGGTGAAAGTTGCTGTTTTCTGTTTCTCCCTGCTCCAACCCCATTTCAGCCAGTGTTTCATCCTAAAGCAACACCTTCTCTTAGTCATGATCAATTCTTATCACATCCTGTCATGTATAATCATCAAAGGCAAGAGTTTTGTTTGAGAATTCCTGTAAGGACACTGGGAGAGCTGAAATCGTGGCAGTGGCTGGAATGTGGGAAAGGGGAAGACAGAGGAAGTGCAGGAGGAGCTGCCCTGGCACAGCATCACTGAACTGCAGGAAAGAGCCAGCAGGTTACTCAGCCTGGGAGCAAAACCAAGTGGGATTGACTCTCTAACCTCAATGGTTCTGTCCTTTTCTCTCTTTGTCTGCTTTGATGTTTTCCTCCTGAGCTCAGCACACGATTCTGTTTTCCCACACCCTTCTGGAGCACAGAGCTTGGGCAGAACTCAGGGGCTGTTGCTCTCAGGCTTCAAGTGGTTGCACTGGCCTCAGCCTAAAGCAAATATTAGGGTCTCTGATGGAGTAAACCCATCCTGAAGTCGCCCACAGTTAAAATGTTCAGACTGGATATATTTTAACATGGAGGATCACAAGCTGAATGGAAAACAATTCCAACAAGTGCTGTCTTAAACTCTTCCTTAAAATAGGTGACACTGCATAAGAGATGGGGCTCCCTGGAATTCATTAGAGGTTTAAACTGTTGATCTGTGGGTTTAGGAGTTGAATCCTGAGAAGCAACTTGGTTGGGTACCTAAATTTCATCCTAAATTAGTCAGGGAGGACATGGATTCCGTGAGGATCACTGTTCATTGTCTCTGTCTTACCCCTGATTCAGTGTCCCTTGCTGAGCTCAGTTTCTCCATTCTCTTTCATGGTGTTTTCAGGACACTGAGCTGCCCTTGGCCAAGCAGAACTCACTGCATTCCTCGTGAATAATTCTCATTTTTATCAGTTAATTTATTGTTAACAGGCCCCACATGGTTTTTCCACAGTGCTGTTTTAACAAAGCACTGCACAGTGCTCTGTCAGATATTTCCTGGAAGCCTAAATGCAGTATATTTTATATCTCTCATTCTATATCTGCACAGTTACTGTTCCCAGCCACATTTATGGGCTGACATTCAGCTTTTTGGAAATACCTGTTTTCCATAAAGCAGAAAGATGGATATAAAGTGTGTGTCCATCCCCTTTTCCATCACCTCACCTGTGATGCAGCTGCTACACTGGAAGTGCTCAGTGGCTGATTGCCCTCCCAAAATATTGCCACTTCTTCATGTTCCCCTCTCCTCAGGGGGTTCTGAGAGTCCTCCTGGGGGTTCCCAGGACAGGTGGAATGGCCAGACAGACACAAATCCATTGCACATAAAGTGTGTAAACTTCTCTTCCAGTCCCTGCTCCTGGCCCTGCCCCTGCCTGCCTTTGCCTTTTGTCTTTATTTCAGGGGCTGGTTCACAGGATCTCACGTGAGGTTCAGTTTCCATTTGTTACACATCCTTTTACACTTAATACTTCTTGATTAAAGGGGACTTTTAACAGAAAAAAAAAATCCTTCTCTTCACTGTGAAACTGCCACACTGCCTGACTATTTTGGGTTTTTTTGTAGAACAGTGTGAAAATGTGTAAAATATTCTGGATTCTTGTAACCATGGGAATATTGTTCTTTGCACCATTGCTGAGTGTTTCCCCTACTCCAGTGTTTTAGCCATTAATTTTGCATTAGTGCATTTTAATGAAAACACAGAGTGCAAGGACCAGGTTCGGATGTCACAAATTTATTGTTCCCTCAGGTTTCATCAAAACCATTTTTGTGCTGCTTTTGTTGTCACTTGTGGTGCACAGGAAAGAACAGGGAGGAGCTGAAAGCAAGTTTTAATGGATAGGCAGGGCCTTAATATTACATTTACTGTGCTTGGGATCCTCCACCCATTTCCAGTCTCCCTCAGCTGCTGGAATTGAGAGTTAGGAAAAGACACCTGGATAATTCCTTGAACTCTCAGCAGAAATGTGGCAAAACCATTTTCCTCAACATTTACCTGTGCCTTACTGCAAATGGGCTTTATTATCATTTTAAAAGTGAAATTAGGAGAGGCTCCTGAGCCTAATTAGGAAAAGAATAACTGGGAAACTATTAAAGAGCTCCTTTGGAGAAGTGGCTCTTCCCTTGGAGAGTTAGGTGCTGTGCAAAGCCAAATTGTGTTGTAGGGACAGAAAAGAGGGAAAAAGCTGCTCCTGGGGGCTCAGGGAGGTTCTGAAGCAGGACTCAGGGATGCTGAATTGTGTCTGTGTGTGTAAAATTCCGCTGTCCAACCTTTGCAGCCTCGGGATCTGCTGGGAAGGGGAGTCGCCCCATGGACTTGGGCCCAGACTACAAACCCCCGCTGGGAGGTGAGTGTGGGGCACAGCTCCATGGCCACACCCTGCTGCCAGTTTGGGCTCACCCAGGGAATATTCCAGCAGCACTTCCAGAGCTGTCCCTGCTGCTGCTGAGCTCCCACGGCATTTCCATAGCCAGAGCCACTCCCAGTGAAATGGAGTGGTTTTCAATCAATTCTGTAGGAACAGATGAGGAAGGAAAAGCCTCCCCGGCTCCTTCTGCTCAGTGCTGCATGTTGGGATTTCCTGTCCTCAGGGAATGCTCCCTGGTGTTGGATAAAGGGTTTCCTTTGGAGCCAAGTGACCCCTGCGAGGCTCCTGATCAATTCCAGTGCTTGGAGTGGGGAGGTTTTTGTGATACTTGAGTAGGCTGCACTTAAATTTTGATAGACTTAGTAAGAAATGGCTCTATAAATCAACTTCCAGATGAACAATTGCACAAAAGCAGTTGGCAAACGCCAAAGAAACAAACATTTCTCATGAGATCCATCCCCTCCTGCTGATCTGCAGCATTCCAGGTGTCTGGTGGGCGCTGCTTGCTTTTCCTGTGTAATAAATGAGCCTTTTCTCCCTTCCCCAACCCTCACAGGCAGTAACAGTCCCCATGGCAGTCCCACATCCCCCCTGGACAGCAACATGCTGCTGGTGATCATCGTGTCCGTGGGCATCATCACCATCGTCATCGTCGTCATCGTCGCCGTCTTCTGCACCCGCCGCACCACGTCCCACCAGAAAAAGTAACGGGGCTGGGGGGCCCTGCCTGCCTTAGTGAACCCTTTTATTTCATTCCTCATGATGCTTTAGAGTTTGTTCCTTGTAAGTCCTGCAGCCTGTAGGTGCTGCTGCTGGTTGGCTTTTCCTGTCAGTGTCCCCAAGTTCCCAGCCATCAGTTCCCACACAAACCGGGGCTCCCAGGTGTGCCTGCACTTCTCCCCCCAGCCAGGGGAAATTGTCATTTCCAAGTTTCCAAACTGGAGCCAATCCATGTGTTGGGAGCTGGGAGAGCTCAGGAGCTCAGGCAGCTCCTCACTCCTGCATGGGTGGGCTCAGTGCACAAGTTGTGCTTGGCATTATCCAGTTTTTAGTAGGATCAGTGGAGTGGAATCTGCATGTGGTGCTGGATTCCTTAGAAAAGTGCTCCCAAATCCTGGTGTTTGTATCTGAATTCCTCCCACAGAGCATCTGCATTGATGCTGCAGCAGTGATGCTCCCACTGAGGGGCTCCTGCAGGGTCTCTCTGAGTGTTCTTTGAAAGAGCAGAGCTGTGTCTGAAGTTGGAAAAGATGCTGTTAGACAAAACAAGTTTTTGAGGAAGTGATGAAAAGCCAGGCTTGGATAATCTGCAGTTGCTGTGATGGAGCAGGAGCACCCTGCAGAGCTGCAGGAGAGGGAGCAGGGATGGAGGAGCCAGCCCTGGCACCCCTGGCAGCTGGGGCTGTGCTTGGGAGGGGGCAGCATGGATGGGCCAGTGCCAGGAGATGTGTTCTATTTTCAGGGCAGAAATAACCCCGTGAAATCTCAATTTCTGAGTGCCCTCAGCCAGGGAATAACCTGATCCCTGTCCCTGATCAGCTCCAGTGGGTGCAGGATTTGGGAGTCACCCCTGCCAGAGGCTCTGTGTGTGCTGTTTTCCCATGTCTGAGCCCCTCCTCCAGCTTTGCCATGGCCCAAAGTGAGGAGTCAGTGTGGAGGGAATGCTGAAACCTACATTTTACCTTCCCAAAATTCCACCATCCCCAATCTCTGCCTCACTGTGGTTTGCTGTTGCTGCTCAGCACAATGGGAACCTCCCCAGTGGGATTGTCCTGCCTGAGCTGGGCTGGAAGGAACGTTCTGTCATTAAGCCTGTGTTCCCATCCTGCTGGGATACCTGACTGGCTGCAGCTCCTTCTCCAGCTGCTGCTGGAGCTCGGTGAGCCCGGGATACGGGCACAGCAGTGCAATATCCTCTCAACAGCCACAATTTCTGCAAACTTAATTCCTGTTAACGAAGGCTGGGCTGCAGAGCCAGGGCTGCACCTGGGGCACCATCAGAGACAAATTCCCTGGCACCAGAGCAAAGGGTGTGCTTTGAGGTGTCAGTGGGGCTTGTGTGCAAAATTCCAAGCTCCCTGCCCAGTGGGAAACTTGTGCCCAGCTGGATGCAAGACCTGAGGGAAACCCCAGGGAGAAACAAACACCAAATTATCAAATCCCTGCTTTCCTTGCCAGGAAACGAGCTGCCTGCAAATCCGTGAATGGCTCCCACAAGTACAAGGGCAACTCCAAAGATGTCAAACCTCCCGACCTTTGGATCCATCACGAGAGGCTGGAGCTGAAACCCATCGATAAATCCCCAGATCCCAATCCCATCATGACAGACACCCCGATCCCTCGCAACTCCCAGGACATCACCCCGGTGGACAATTCCATGGACAGCAATATCCATCAGAGGCGGAATTCCTACAGAGGTGGGAGGCTGTGAGGAGTGAAACACATCTTACTGGTGAAATCACTTGGATTAAGTTACTCTTTTCTGTCCTTATTTTCCAAGTAGTGAATTGGGTTTGTTCCTGGTTTCTGAGACTCTGAAAAGGTTGGATCACACGTTTTAGTGAGGAAATAGATTATCCAAGAGTTATATCATTACATTATCTCTTAGTAAATACTGATTAGTAATGGGAAGATCATCTCTTCATATTAAACCCCTGGATTTGTTTCTGACCTTTCAGCCCAGAGCTGAACCGCTGCCAGAAGTTTGCAGCGGGGCCTGGAGAGTTTCTCCAGTTCCCAAACATCCTCATCCTCGCTGTCTTCTTCCCACCTTCCAGTGAAGTGGAGAGGGCTCTTTATCACTCAAGGGCTGTGTGGGGGCAGGAGTGAGGGGAGGAGGAGTGTTGCTGCTGCTGTGGTTCCCGGGGCCTGGCTGCACAGGCTAACGCGGCTGTTCCCCCTCAGGACACGAGTCGGAGGACAGCATGTCCACGCTGGCGGGAAGGAGGGGCATGAGGCCCAAGATGATGATGCCTTTTGATTCTCAGCCACCTCAGCGTAAGTGAACACCCCCAATTCCTGCTGGAGCCACTCCCTGCTCCCAGGAAATGCCATGCTGGGCAGCAGGAGCAGCTCAGGGAGGCTCCTGAGCCCTCCTGGTGCGGGCAGAGCGAGGCCGTGTTGGAAGGGGCTGGCAGGGCGGGAGCATGTCCAGACCTGGCTGGGGCTCTGCAGGGACAGCCCGTGGGCCTGGCTGCTCCTTGGAGCCATTCCCTTGGAGCTCTGCCAGTGTGCCACATGGGAGCTGCAGAGAGCTGGAATCTCTGTCAGGTTCCCCACTGTTGTTTTCCCAGCCCAAGCAGTCACCATCCCCTTCACCTCTGCAGCTCTGCTCTCACAGCCTTCTCTGACTTTACTCTGAGCTCCCTGAGACCTCTTTGCCCTGGGATCCTTCTCTGATACCAAAATGACCCTTATGAAATATTTTAGGAATTGAACAATCTATCTGGAGTTTTCAAATGACTCCAAGATGGAAAGGGACTTGGCTGAACCTCTGAACAGCCAGCCTGAAACGCTGTGTGGGAACAGCAGCGAGCAGCTTAGGAGTTGCTGTGCAGGGGCAGAACTGGGAGGTAAAATCACACCAAGCTCACCCGGGCTGAGCTTTTGACTCCCCTGAGCTCTGTGATCATGTTCCACCTGTAGCCAGGTGACTGCTGCCACAGCCCCTCTGTTCTATGGAATTATTTCAGAGTAGTTACATTACATTTCCACTTTCTTTTTGCTTTAATTAAAAACTGAACTGAGGACTTGGTGTTCTTGATCTCTACCTACTTTTTCCAGTGTCCTGATGACCTGATTTCCCAGTTTGTGAATTTTCTTCTTCTGTGACCTTCTTCCAAGAGCAGCATCCGGTTTCTTGGTTTTACACTAAGTAGTCTGATTTCCTTGCTGTCTCCCAGCTCTCCACGTGTGAGGAGGGAGCAGAGGATGCAGTTTTACACTAAATTCCTCAGAAACTGGTCTGAGTGAAACAGGGGTGTGTGGCAGGTCCCTCTCTGCCAGCTCCTGGGGGGCACTGACCAGGCCCAGGCCCTGCTGGAGCTTGGCTTTGGGACTGGGCTCTGTCCTGTTCGTGAAAGCTCCGAGGGCCTCCAGCCACGGGCTCTGGTTCAGGGGGGACATCGGTGTGGGCTCTGCAGGTGCCCTTCTGGCAGGAGCTGAGGCCACCAGGAGCGTTCCTTGTGTCCAGCCCTGGGCCTGAACAGCCTTCCACGGCTTTCTCCCACCCCCTGGAGCCTTCAGATGGAGTTACTAATTCCCCCCTGAGGGCTGAATTATGGTAACTCACTGTGCCATTTTAGTCTGATTTGCAGTAATGGTGTGTGCTAGTGACTTCCTTCTTTGCCTCCTGGAACACAGAAATTCTGGAAGGATATTGGGAAGCAAAGGCCTCTATTGTTTAACACACCTCATTTCATCTTTATCAATATACTGTATGTGGATAACAGATCTGGATTCTCTTTATTCTCCTTCTGGACTTTTCAGTGGAATCAAGCAGTGCTTTAAGAGTTGGTGGCACGAGTTTGGGAGCTGCAGTTGGGTGAATTTTTTGTCCTATGTGTGTTTGAGGTGTGATAAGCCAGGGGTTTAAGCTGGGCTGTAAATCAGGAGGGTCTGGCTCCCTGCTGGAGCGGGGAGCAGGGAGGGGAGTCCCCAGGCTGTCCCATGTGTGTGTGTGTGTGTGTGTTAAGTGTTTCTCTGTCTTGTGTTCATCCACAGCTGTGATTAGTGCTCATCCCATCCATTCCCTCGACCCCCCTCACCACCATTTCCACTCCGGCAGCCTCGCCTCTCCAACCCGCAGCTTCCTGCACCACCAGCTCAGCCCGTGGCCCCTGGGCTCTGCCATGTCCCATTCGGACAGGGCCGACTCCACAGGTGAGAGACCGACCCTCAGGGAGGTGGTGCTTTGTGGAAAAGTCAGGGAAACACCTGGAAATCGGAGCCTGAAGCCGGGTCAGTCTCCTCTGTGGGGTTCCATGAGGGATGGGTTAGGTACAGACAGAATCCTGGAAGGGCTGGGTGCTCCTGGTTAGGTCGGATTTTGTTCTGTGACATCCACGGTGGTGTCCTTGGAAAAGGGGGGTTCGTGTTTTATACCCAGCTCCAAACAGGGATTCCTCCTGCTAAAGCCTCTGGCCCTGAAACATCAGATTAACTCTGAGCTGCCTCGTGGGATAACTTCCCCCAGTTAATACAGTTTGAAACCAGCAGGGAAGGAAGGTCCAGGCTTGGCTACTGACAGTGGGGGCACACAGAGAACAGGGGTGATTTCCATGCAGCACTCCCAGCCTTGAGCAGAATCATTTGCAGAAGTTTTAGAGAGCACTGAAGTCTCCAGGACTCTGAAAAATTCCAGAGCGATGGCATCGCTGAATGTGCACATGGGTAACCTTGGGATGAAGCAAACCCTGAGCTTCTCTGCTTAAGGTCAACATTCGAAGGTGTCACAGCCAAAAGTGTTGTTTCTTTATGAAAACAATTCCTGAGGCTGCAAGCTCCATTCCAGCCCAAACCATTCCATGAGTCTCAGGAGATGGATTTCAGATGCGGCTCCTGTGTGAGCCCCCCAGTGCTGTGTGCTTGAGGAGCTCTAGTTAGAGGTGTCAGTGCTTTTGTTACTCTGGGCTAGGAGGAGGCTGCACTTTGGTGTTGTGTGCTTTGTGTGAGGATCACGGAGCTGTTCCTGTGCCGGTGCAGTCGCTCAGCTCGGTGCCCTGGGAGGAGCCCTGGTCCCCGTGTCCCGGAGCCCGGGTCAGGAATAACCCCTCGGGGGTGTTTGCGTTGCAGAGTCCGTCCGGAACACGCCCAGCACGGACACGATGCCGGCGGCCTCGGCCGTGGCCAGCGCGGAGCTGCCGGAGCCCGAGGGGCCGTTCCTGCCCGCGGAGGAGGAGCCCCAGGGGCCCCCCACGGCCCACGTGCGCCCCTCGCACCCCCTCAAGAGCTTCGCTGTGCCCGCCGTGCCGCCCACCGGGGGCCCCTTCGACCCTGCCCTGCCCAGCACCCCCCTGCTGACACAGCAAGGTGAGTCAGAAACAGCCGGGAAACGGGGACTTGGGGGCACAGGGAGGGAGGAGTGCGTGTCAAAGGAAACGTGGCAGAGGCTGGGGTGGGTTTTGTTGGTGGCATTTTCCGTACATAGATGAGCCAATTCAAATCCAACACTCCGTAATTGAAGTGTTCCTTTTCTCCTGGAAGAATCCTTTTCCTCCACGGGCTCATCCCAGACTGGTTTGGGTTGGAAGGGAACTTTAAAGCCCATCCAGTGCCACCCCCTGCAATGGCAGGGACCCCTTCCACTGTCCCAGGCTGCTCCAAGCTCTGTCCAGGCTGCCCTTGGGCACTGCCAGGGATCCAAGGCCAGCCCCAGCTGCTCTGGGCACCCTGTGCCAGGGCCTGCCCACCCTCCCAGCCAGGAATTCCTTCCCAATATCCCGTCCATCCCTGGCAGTGGGAGCCATTCCCTTCCCTGTCCTTACTCTGCTCCTTCCGGGAGCTCCCTGAGCAGTGTCCTGAGCCTGACCGTGTCCCCAACTCCCTGCAGCTCCCGGCCACCCCGTCCACGCGGTGAAGACGGCGTCCATCGGCACCTTGGGCAGGACTCGGCCGCCCATGCCCGTGGTGGTGCCCAGCGCCCCCGAGGTGCAGGAGACCACGCGGATGCTGGAGGACTCGGAGAGCGTAGGTACCCCCTGCCAGGGCGGCAGGGCTGGCTCTGCAGGGCTCTGCAAGGCTCTGCAGGGCTCTGCAAGGCTCTGCAAGGCTCTGCAAGGCTCTGCAAGGCTCTGCAAGGCTCTGCAGGGCTCTGCAAGGCTCTGCAAGGCTCTGCAAGGCTCTGCAAGGCTCTGCAGGGCTCTGCAAGGCTCTGCAAGGCTCTGCAGGGCTCTGCAAGGCTCTGCAGGGCTCTGCAAGGCTCCTGAACTGTCACAGGCACAGCGCGGTGGGCTCTGCGCTCCCACAGCTCCAGTGCCTGGGAACCTGCACGGGAAATGCCTTCTGCAGGGGGGGACCTGCTGAATCCTGCAGCTGCAGCTTCCCCAGCTCTGCAGAGCATTCCCAGTGCCATCCCTGAGCTCTGCAGAGCATTCCCAGTGTCACTGCACATGGAACATTTGACATTAATGCCAGTGTGTTCCAAGCCATCTTCCCAAATCTGTTTGTAAATTCTCACAGGAAAGTTTCCTGACTTTTGGGAAGGGTGCAGCCAACTGTTGGGCTGCTTTGGAAGCGGCTTTTAAGGAATGCTTTGGAAGAGCTGTTTTCCTTTCAAACTGCAAGCCAAGGAGTTGCTCCTGTGGCCGTTACCTGTTAATATTCAGATATTCACTGCTGCATCACTGCTACAGGAAATGCTCATTTGGAATTCATTTTTCTTTTCCCATCATTGTCCTTTTCTCACTTGTTTTTTACTCTCCTGATTTTATTTCTCTATGTGCTGGTCTGGAAACTTGATCTGGTGTCCTCTTGTGCTTCTGTCACTCCTGCTTTATTCATTTTGTTTGGTCAGTACCAAACCCATACTCCTCAGCTAATTTGTAATATTTAAATAGAGCCATTAATACTTTCATTAATTAATGAAATTAATTAATGAATATATTAAGTGCCAGGTAGAGTCAGCACAAAAAAAAAACAGTTTAAATTAAATTACTGGTTCAACTATGAGTCTTAAAATGTAAATAAGTTGAAATACAGAGTTCAGGTTTGGGCAGTGTTTTGAATTAATTCGGGGATTTTAGGAATGAGTTTAGGGAATGAGTTTACTCACTGAGTAAGGAGTTGGCAGATGATGTGTTGGGCACAGGACTGTACAGTGCAGAGGTTTGGTAAACTGGAAGTTCTTTGCTGTTGAAATGAAGCAGGAGGAGCTGCAGGAGCAGCTGAGGGCTGGGAATGCTCAGAACTGGGAAGGGTTTGGTCAGGAAGGGTTTGGGGATGAGCCAGACCACGGGGTCTGCCCACAGTGCTGACAGAAACGAGACAGCTGAGCCTAAAATCGCGTGGCTTTAGCAGCTATCCCGATCCCAAAGCAGCTTTGGTGAAGAGGGGAGATCCTGCTCAACTTCCTGCCTTGGTCCAAAGGCAGGGATCGAGGCAGGAAAAGTGGAGCTGTGAGCCACAGCTGCCCCGCCCGGCAGAGGGGGCTGTGCCACGTTACCAGCGGGTGAAATGGTGATGAATGCGCTGGTGCTCGGTGCTGAGCGGGGGCAGGAGCTGCAGCAGGAGGTTCCTGAGGTTCCTGCTGGGCCCCAGCGCTGTGGGAGTGACCCTTTCCCCCTTCCCTGCCCGCAGAGCTACGAGCCGGACGAGCTGACCAAAGAAATGGCCCACCTGGAAGGACTCATGAAGGACCTCAATGCCATCACCACGGCGTGAGCGGCGCCGCCAGTCTCGGACTCAGCCTTGGAGCACAAGGAATTGTACAGAGGGAAAAAGTAAAGGAAAAAAAAAAAAAACCAAGAAAAAAGAAAAAAAAGAACAAAACCCAGAAAGAGGGACAGCACACGAGAGCAATGGAGGGAGGAGGAGAGGAAGCAGCTGGAGGTGACCCGAGGTCACCCCCTGTCCTGCAGCGGAGCCCCGCGGGATGAGCCTCGCCTGGGATCCAGCAGGACGAAAGCAAAGTGGACTCGCCATTAGTTTTTTTTTTCTGGTCAGGTTTTGTCTCAGTGGTGTGATTGCCCTGCCTTTTCAGTGTTGGACATTGGCATTTATGTACAATTTTATTTGTGTTTTTATTTTATCTTTTTTTATAAAAAGGAAAAAAAAAATATTGTAATAAAAAAAAAAAGGGAGAAACTGTTGTTTTCCACAGCTTAGGCTGAAGTTTGACTGCTTGTTCTATTGTGTATGAAAATTCATTGCCAGTGTGGGTTGTTCTGTTTTGTTTTTTATTCTGAGTAAAATTACATCCCCTTCTGGCAGTTAATCCATGGCCTTTTGGGATGCTGCACTGCTCTTTGTAAGCTTTTTTTATTATTTTTATATTATAATTATTAAAAGCCTGACTTTCTCCTCTCATCACTGTGAGATTCCCGGTCTGTTTGAATTGAGGTGTAATTGGAGAGCCTTGTTTGTCGCTTTTTGTGCAGTTTCAATATTTTGAGTGGGGGGAGAAGTAGCTGGGGAAGGGGAGGGGGATCCTGGGGAGGGTTCATTCCTGTTGTTTTCCTGTCTTTTTCCAGTGACTGGGAAGACTGAAGAGCAAGGAAACATCTTCAGCTGTACTGTGTGTCTGGTCACTGAGTGCAGGGAGAGGCTCCTTTAGGAACAGAGTTCTTCCTGGGAATGGGGGCTCTCCTGTCCAGGTGACCCTACAGGAAGCTTCTTTTGGCAGCTGTTTTGTTGTTGTTGCTTTAAAGATGGATCAGGAGCCTTGGAAGAGCAGAGTGAGAGCTCAGCCAGGCTGCAGGGCTGGGGCTGAGCCCCCTGGGCTCGGGGAACTTCAGCATCTTCCCTTTGCCAACACCCCAGATCTGCTGGAGAGCACTGAGTGTCCACAGGGTCCCAGGCCATCCCAACAGGAATCCTGAAAACGAGGCAAAAATGCATTTTTTTACACTTTGGAAAGCATGGGAAAATAAACTCAGTGTTGGTGACCCAGGTGCTGCTCCCAGATCTGGAAAGGGAGGAGAGGGAACAGGGAGCTCCAGGGAGGGGAGGGAAGAGGGATTTTCTTTCTCTCTTTGTGTGCTTGCCTGGCTCTGTCCTTCCCTGCATAAAAAAAAAGGCTGGGGTTCAGTAAAATGAGAAAAATTTTAAGAAAGAGAAACTCCAGCCAGCTGCCAGTGCCCACCTGTGCAACTTCACTTCCAGGGTAAAAGAAATCCCAAACTTCCTGATGGTTCAGGGGCTGGGATTTGGGAAGTTCTGGCTCCTCTGTGCCTCTGCCAGGAGATTTCCACTGAAATGGCAAAAAGAACTTTGCTTCCTTTGCTTGCCCTGGGCTGGAGCTGAGGCTCCCACTCCTGTCACTGGGAGAGCCACGGAATCCCCGGGGAGAGCAGGGATTGAGTCACTCCCTTTCTTTTCCTGGACTCTGTTGTCATTTCCAGGCCATTTCCTGCATTTATTTATTACTGAGGGAGGGGAGGGAATTCAATAAATTGTAGCAGCGTGGGCCACCTGGATAATTAACGTCTGGACTTTAAATCAGTACAATTCAGAGCAGAATAAGCTACAGAACGTGTATTTAAAGAATAAAACCCAGCCCCTGGCCTGGAAGGGAGGGTGTGGAGCTGTTCCTTCGCCTATTTTTTACCTATACCCAAAGAAATGCCATCCTACACACACAGTATTCCCAGCTGGGGGCCTTTGTGAATATTCCTTATGTAGAACACCATGAATGTTAATATTGTCATTGAATTTGGGGAGGGGGAATATTTTTAATGCTAAAACAACTGTTCAAAGTTGGTTTTTTAAGGTTAAACTGAGAAAAAAAAAAAAAGAAAAAACATTTATTCAATTCAATGTACAATCTGTATTGCACTTTTTCACATTTTAATGCTCCGTTTTCTTACATATCCTGTGATTTTAACTTTGGAACATTGTGTATCTTTGTAGTGTCATAGTCCAGCTGTGCAGTGACAGCTTCCCTCAGACATTTGGGGAAAAAGGAACAAACCAAACCTGTACATTGTTTTATGATTTTCATGTAGAAGAATTTCAAGGACTGCTGTAGATGTCGACCTTTCTGTACAATTTTTTTGCTTTTCTGTAGTATTTGCTGTATCCTCTATGGCTTTTTTTAATAACTTCATGTTTATTATTTTGTATTGGGCATCCAATACACTTTTTTTAATCCAGTCAACTCCTGGGCTGCTTGGAGAGTTTGTTTAATTATTCCTAGTCAGTACAGTGACCAGATTTGGGGTTTTACTCACCCTTTTTTCCCTTGCTGTGGGTTGGAGGAGAACTGTTCTCCCTCCCTCAGGCTTTGTGCACACACTGAACTTGGAGCATCTTCCTGTCTCCCTGTTCCAGAGCTCCACAGTGAAAACATCACCTTTTAATTAGCCAGCAGAGAAGGAAGGGGTTCAAATCGGTGGAAGTACAAATAATAGCCTTAATAAACTGGGAAATAATGGAAAAATAATCCCATAACCGTGGGCTATTGCACTTTCTGGATGTGGATTGTGAAGTGCAGTAATTCTCTCCTTGGTGCCAGCCCATGTCTCAGCCCTGCTCCGTCCCTCCCAGCCTTTGCTCACTCCTTCCTTCCCCACGCTCATCCCAGGGGGGAAGGGACCCCGGAATTCTCCTGGAGAATTCCCTCCTGGAATTTATTGATTCAGCTCAATGGCTTTTACCAAAAACCCTGAACCATCGCAGCGTTTTGTGGGGTCCCAGAACGGTTTGGATGGAAGGGACCTTAAATCCCTGGCCCTGGAGGGAGGCAGGGGCAGCTCAGCCGTGTCAGGGCTGGGGCCCAGGGGAGAAACTGGGGAACATTCCTGGGAGAGCAGAAAATTCCTGCCCGGACTCAGAGACCTCCAGTCCTGGCCCGGGGCAGAGCTGAGCTCTTCCAACCCAAAGCAGCCCAGGATTCACACGGAACAGCTGAGGTGGGAAAAGAGCTCCCAGCCCATGGAGTCCAAACCCCACCTCATTCCCAGGCCAGAGCACTGCGCGCCACGTCCAGGAATTCCTTGGACACCTCCAGGGATGGGAACTCCAAACACCCCTGGGTGGCCCCTTCCAGTGCCTGACAACCCTTTCCATGAAGAAATTCCTCCTGATGTCCATCCTGAGCCTCCCCTGGTTGAGGACGTCTCCTCTTGTCCTGTCCCTTGTTCCCTGGAAGCAGAGCCTGATCTTCCCAGCTGCCCCCTCCTGTCAGGGAGCTGTGCAGAGCCAGAAGGTCCCTCCTGAGCCTCCAGGCTGAGCCCCCCAGCCCTGCGCTCCACCGAGAGCTGTGGAGCCGTGCCCGGGGGTGACAGCGCAGCCCGGGGACAGCGGGGGACAGCCGGGGGACAGCCGGGGACAGCCCGGGGACAGCCGGGGACAGCCGGGGGACAGCCGGGGACAGCCGGGGGGCAGCCGGGGGACAGCCGGGGACAGCGGGGGGCAGCCGGGGC